TCAAAAGACACACATTTTCTTATTAGCCATTGTTTTGGTTGCTGTGGAAAACCCCTCTAACAAAATGTACATATTTATTTTAGTGTACTAAATTGTATACAAAAAAAAAGTCGAAAAATACCAAATCTACAGTGAGGCACAAGGGTTCAATAAAAGTACTGCACTCACTTTAGCATTAAAATCTGAGGGGTCATGAGATGTTTGATGGAAATAAAGATTGGTTTTATAAACATTTATTGGATTTTTTTGTAGTATTTGACCTAGAAAAGCAATTGAAATGGGGTCCATATATTAATTGGTGAATACATTAAGAAAAAATAGTGAACTTAATATTTTAATAGCCTTGAACTCTTCTAGTATGTTAGGTTCCTCTATGGCACTTAGGTAGGTCCATATGAGACGTGTAAAAGTCCCTGAGTGCCTGAAATTGAAGCACAATGAGCCTGGACTCTAGGGCATAAATAAAACCATGTGAGAACGTTAAAGAAGACATTTTACTTTGGTGGAACTGGTATCGACCTGAAATGCGACCTAGACACTTTAATTTGAAATTATTCCAAATCCATTTAGCCTTCAGATACATGTATGAAATGTTAGAAGACTCAAGGGAAGGACCTGCAAATGTGCCCTTAGTGCAGATTGTGAGTAAATCTACCGTGCCCTGGTGTTCCGCAGAAGCCGGTTTAGAGCAGCTCAGGCAGCCTCTGTGGAGCTGGCGGCTCTGGGGGGGGGGGGGGGGGGAGAATAAGCCTGTGGGCGGCACGGTGGTGTCGACACCCGGCCCGAGCGCAGAGGGAGCTGGCAGGGAGGGGAAATGGCTGCCGGCCCAGATAAGGTCTATCAGGGACCTGGCTTTAGTGTCCTCCTCACACACAGGGACAGAGGATAACTTCCCCACTGGCACACGCTCAAAGGCTGGGTGGGGGGGTGGGGCGAGGCCTGCCAGATGAACTGCAGCTCTTCAGTGGAGCCCGCTGACTCAATAAGGTGGAGAGGGCAGAGATTAGTGAAGAGTGGGGCAGGGGTCAGGAGATCTGAAGGCAGCAGGCTCAACAAAAAAAGTGTGGCTTTTAAAATACACCATATGCTGGATATTCTAACCCAATGTGAGGGATGTTTGTCAGTCGTGACGTCCGGAGTGATTGGAGAAGAATGAAGTGATGAGCATTCCCTGTCTTTTATGAATCAGAACACTCTGTAGGATTCCCACGTTCCTTATTCTTTAAGGTATTGACATCATATTGACATCAGCTCTCTGCCTTTCACCTACATGACTCAAAAACAGGAATAGACTGTATGGGAATAAAGTTATAGCAGACCTCACCACATCATATTTCTCTGATCACACCGATGCCTTTTCAAATCCTCATTGGGAATCTGTGTGATAATGCATAAGCACCTCAGCTTACATCCAGAGTAAATTAGGTACAAATACTATTATGCTTAAGTATTGTATTATTTTATATTTGTTGGTATCGGTCCTTGTTTGTAATATTATAATATATTATTGTGTGATTGTAATGAATTGGTTGGAGCGGGTCACATGGAGATGAGTAGCGCTCATAGGGAATACTATCACCTGTTCACCAGTGTGTGTGGAAGAGAGGGACGCTGTATTATTTGTATATAGCTGTGATTATGAATACACATTGTAGTGAGTTGATCATTTCATTTTTTCATTAAATTAGAATGTATTCACCAACATTTTTTATCTCAGCAATTACATTTTGATCCAACAAAGGCAACCCGGCCAAGCCTCTTGCGAGTTCTGTTTGTTCCCTGAAGTCGTTACACGAGTTTTTCTATTTTGTGCAATTTCATACTACTATTACACCACCATTTGGAGGAAGTATTGCATTCCGATATATGTAATTAACTGATAAAGTTGCTTTTAGCATTGAGGTTTTACATGCCTTTTTGATTGTGTAGTTTAACAAGTTTTAGATGTTTATGAGATCTTATCAGTCGAGTAGTGACTTCTTCTCTAAAAGGGATCTGTGTAGCAGAACCTTTTTTCTTGGTATGAGCCGCATGATTAAACTACTGAATACGTACCTACAGCAGTGAGCAAGTACTTTCACTTTGATAATGCTTTTGATCACATGTTGGTGATATACTTCTGTACTTTTGCTCAAGCGGGGTTATGTAATCTGGACTTTTAATTGTTACACTACTTTTGACTTATTGGTTCCTTTCCTTAGAACCAACCAAAGTGTTCCCTCAGAGATGTATTTGATGACCTAGATCTGGTTTTAAACTATAAAAAAAAGTTGTTTTGATGTAGAATTGATGAGTTTGAAAGATTATAAAGATGCATTTACACTGTACATACAGTACACCCCCCATGTTAGCATTACAAGAAACCTCACAGTTACATTCAGACATTCAACAGGAAGTGAAACCTGTGGCCTTTCAATTTTGCAAATCAACAGAGAAGCAACGGAAAATTGGCGCTCAACATATACATCTTTATAACAAGATTTGAAATGAAATGGTTTGCATTAAATGATAGTGTCATATTTTCCAAGTCTATCATTTATTCTCACATGCCTGTGTGCACATGTGTTCCCTTTAATGGTTTCCCTTCATATTTGCCACAAGATCCTCTTTCGACACATTTTCACAGTCCTAGTAAACCTGCATTACGCATTGAGGACTGTGGACGTGTATAATTAATAATATATGTATATTAATTAATGGAAGTATTATTTAGATCATTTAAAGGAAGTTATGTTAAAGTAAAATGACTGCAACTATAACACACTGTGAAAATACTCCATTACAAGCTCAAGTCCTGCTCTCTTAAGCTTATTTAAGTTAAGGATGACATGTAAAAGTTATCATTGTGCAGTCAAATATTTGCTATCAATGTTTTACTATTTGATATGACATGTCTGGATTGATATTAAAGCTGCATTACTTTTTTGTTGTATTTTACTGCTTTAGATGTTTAAGTTTGTGCTAATTGTAACATCTTTATGTGCCTTTAGGTAGTTCATGTTCTATATGATTTATACGATGATAGAAGAGTTTCTTGAAGATCTTGAAGCTCAATTTTCAGCTCATACAAGACACATTTCAAACAGTATTAAGCTTCAAAAGTTGAAGTATTTATTTCTCATTTTCAGTTTACCAGAATATTATAATGTGTTGTACTAGACAGGAAGGGTATGAAACTGAATCCTCAAGGTAACTGCTCTCAGAAAATTAGAAGGCAGTACAAAGTACATGATTGGTCTGTGAACTGTAGTGAAGCAGAAGAAGAAGGTTGCATAGAAAGGAAACGAGTGCCTGAATACAGAACACAAGTTTATGGACTTATTCCATATAATAACATTCCCCCACTGTATGTAATGTGTAACAAACACAAGTAATGAAACAGTTAATAAAAGGGAATTAAAGTGAGTATAAATGTATTCGTAGGTTCACCTAATGGGAAAGCTACATATGTGTGTTGTAATCACTTTATTACTGGCTTATAACACGACTAAACATCTGACTGTTCTGCGGAGTAATTAAAGCCTGACATCATCCCTCGCAGCACGGCATCATGGTCAAAATGGAAAAACTGAACTAAAGCCTTAAAAGGATTTGATGTGCAGGTGATTAAGAAGATAACATTATTCAAATGAAATCCAAGATGTTTTATGCGTTAAAGAAACCAAATGTTCTGAATTAGTGTCCCGTTTACTTTGTGTCAATTTGATCGAAAAACTATCTTCTCAGTTGCTGTCGGCGTTTTATAAAAAAGCGGCAGCAGAAGGCAAGAGAGTGAAGCCGGAAGAGGAAAGAGAGTGACTGTTAGACCTCTTCCTGTGGTTACATCACGTGGCTGTGGAGCCTTCAAAAGGAGACGACTTCTTCTTCTTCTTCTACTTCATCCTCTCCTTGGACCGACAGCAGACACCTGCGAGGCCGCTGCACACCCGACTCTAAGCTAGAGAAAAGACACGAAGGATGAGGTAAAGTATGATGGAGGACATGGCGCGCTTGATACTAGAATGATTTGTAACGACGTGGGAAAAGTTATTTTAGATAATAACAGTGTTACAGCTTTTCCTTCATTAACTTTGCTTATGGCTTTTTTTTGTCCAATTGTAATTTGGGTAGTTGTATTGATATAAACTGTGAACTCAATGCTCTTTTCTTGCTGTATTACCAATTTTAACTGTCATTGTATATAATGTTTGTTTTTTTATTTGCTCCAATTTGTTTTTGATCCAATGTAGGCAGTAATTGTTTGCATTACTTTACTAACTATTTCAATATACCAACTGATCTGTTGCTCAAGACAGAAAAGCTTACTCATGCCAGCCAAAATGGCTTCCTCAAGATGGCGCTTCCTCTAGAAAGTTCTGAATTGTTCCTCAAACATCTTACTGCGTAGCTCTTTAAGAGACACGGTTGTGGTCTTTTAGGAGGATTTTTGTCATGTATAATAAGAGCACTTGGATTTGAACAGGCTTTAGGAAAACCGTGTATGCAAATGTTTCAAGACGAATCAGGAAGTGCGCATGTTGCGGTTTGGTGTAGAAGTTTTTTCTGGGGCGGGGGTTGTGTGCGTGTGCAGCTGCGAGTGCAGGTGCAGAAGAAGAAGAAGAAGAAGACGGCGATGGATGTACAGTGCAGTCATCCATAAAGTAGAAAGCACTACTAAACTCCTCGCCACAGTGTAGTGTTTCCTACTTTATGGATGAGTGTACTGTTGGCTTCAGGGAGAGGAGAGGCCCCACGGGTGAGGGCCCGCCACGCAGGAAGTGAGAAAAAAAGAGGAAGCTGCTTTGTCTCACAAGGCCTCGCATCGCCCAGAGTGTTGCTCAGTTCACATGGGCGGCGTGTGGCGCAGAGCAAAGCTAGCACCTCGACTGAGTTTCAACTGTCCTGGAAAAAAAAGAAATAATTATGATGTATAATCTGTTTGAAATGCAATAAAGGAAATTAAACGTACCTTGTGTTATCTTCTCTTTTCCAGTCGCACCACATGCATTACAGACTCAGTGTTTTCTGTGAAAATATACATACTTTATTCCTGTAAAAAGATCCATATTGAAACAAACCATCACATGTTCAAGTCCTCTGTGTACTACATCCTCAGTTACTGTTCCTCCATCGACATGCAAAAAAGAAATCTGAAAAACCATATTAACAAAAATATTTACAGATGGGTAATAAAAACATTACATATATATATATAAAAAGGTACATCTTCCACTTTTTCAAACAATGATGCAGGTCGAGGGAAGACGGAAAAAAAAAGATTCCCGCGCATTATGAAAATATACCACAACAACTGTTCATTATATACACACTTTCTTCTCCACTGCATTGACGATCTACAACTCAAACATTGTAGACGAGTCTGCCTAGGAAACATAAATATAACCGTAACATAAATAAGGCCGAACATGGGTATGACATTGGTATGCATGCAGTCAATAAACATCCTGTAAACAACCGATTAAAGACTAAACAAGGTCTTCTTGTAAGGCTAAATATGATCGACTGAGCTAAAACTCTTCCTACATGGGTGCTAGCGCCTACTCACTACACAGCAGGTAGAGGAATACTTGTGCATTAAAAGGCCGTCAAATACAAGAGCAGTACAAATATTCGCTGTACATTTCGGCAACTCTTAGAAAACAAATTTAAATACAGTACAGACTCGGTCTTGCCTCTATCCCGGCTATTTCACATCTAAAGTGTCTTGGCATCGTCATGCTCCCTTTATATAACACAGAAAGACATTTAAAACATTCACGACAGTAAGTAAAAACTATTTTCCTCCAACTTTGAATGGTGAAACTAGGCCCTAATCTTCAATCTGATTCTACATACTCCACTTTATCTCCATGCTGCCGTCACTCGCTCCTTTGAAGCTACGGTAACAGGCAAAGCACCTAAGATTTGGCATGTTCTGCAGTTTTATGACAGCTGGAGTCAACAGGTGGCTCAGCATTAGTAAGAAAACTATAAGTAAAAACCTGAGAAGTTGCCTAACAGCTAATGTCACACAGATCTAATCAGAGTGTGTTGTAACTGACTCACAAACTCAACCCTAAGGCCTGCTCCACACACACCCACAAACACACACACACACTCAAAACTAAACCTTAGTGTGAGTAATGGTGTCACAAACCATTAAAAGATACAGAATGTCTTGATAAGTGTTGGAATATAGCACAATATGCTATATTGCTAACGTTGTGTCCTTTAGCTTCAACCAAACAGTCTATCATTTAATGATGCCAATGTTTAGAGACAAACAAACGAATTTCAGCTACACTGCATGAAACAATGTACGCTGTATGGCCTAATATTCACACTCTAAAAGTGAATCATACTCAGACTTGGAGGCAAAACCATAAACAGCTGATTGAGTGTGTCGCAGTAGAGCCGTGCCAGAAAGCCTAGGTGTTATGAATAAAAACCTTTCACTTTAAATAGGATCCTAAGTGTTATGTTCTCCTTTTTTAAATCTTTAAGGGAGGACATGTTTTTTAGAATAAGGTTGATATGTCAAGAATAAAGTCAGATTTTCAATGTATGCGCTACAGCAATTATTTTTTATTTATTTCTAAGAGTTCATTGTTTATTTCCCAAAATGTATTTCAATTAAAGATCTTCTTTTCATCCTCAAAATATAAAATAGGTTTCTCCTCAATTTGAGTTTTTTCTTATTTCTAGCATTAATAGTCTTCTGTAAGATCTGCAACTCAATTGATCAATCAGTCCAGAGGTTTTCAAACTCTAGAATTTGCCTGAGTATCATCAGTATCAAAGTTATAAAGTGATAACTGTCAGTATATCATGGCAACACTTCACACAGGAAGTGTTCAAATGGTTTGGATTGTGTTGATTAACACAAATATTAACAAATAAGGGCTAAAGCTACTTTATACTTCTATTCAACTACATTTTATTGCAAATATTGTATGTTACTCTGCTACATATATTTGAATCAGACTTTGAAAACCCCTGGGTTAGTCGATCAAGAGAAAGTTAAGCAAATTATTTGATGGATTTAAGGATAAGCTTTGAGAATTAGCTTTTCCTTTTCCTACTTTACAGTTAACTGAAAATGTTTGGGTTTTGAACTGTTGGTCGTACAAAACAAGTCATTTCATGATAAAACACTGTTGGCTGTAAGAAACTGTGATGCTGTACATACCAACGGTTAATTCATGATTCAATGATGGTTTGACGATAAACATCAGTTGCAGCTGACTTAGTTAACAGAGCAGCCTACCGATCAACAGATATTACATGATTTCTGCACACTGCACGTAGTTTGTGACAATTAGGCCAGTTATGACTGTTGCTACGCTAATGTCTGAAAGGGCATCTGTTCACACACACAGACACACACACACACACACACACACACACACACACACACACACACACACACACACACACACACACACACACACACACACACACACACACACACACACACACACACACACACACACACACACACACACACACACACACACACACACACACACACACACACATCACATTCTTTACCTTCGATGACTGCTAGCCTCAAAGCCCATTACTAAAGAATATAATACTACACCTATCTGTGACCTCTCTACATGACTAACCTCCTGTCCTGATGTCACTTCCTGCAATGTGGTTAAAGCAAGAGTCTGACACAAATAAATAACATGTTCTGTACAAAGTATAAATACTCTCAAAGACAAGAAACAATGAGAGGGACATGCAGAAAGACATTTAGAATGCATCCACTCAGGATGGATAGTGTATTCTTAACAGTTACACAGAGGGAGAAAAGATAGACGGCTGCGTCTGTTTGTTTTTAAATAAATAAAGTGGCACCAGAAAATGAACTTTAATATTTCATTAGCTGTGTGTCTGCTGTTCTATCTATTTTTATAAATAAAACCGATCCATTGACTAATAAGTAATTTATATTGATCGTTAAAGCCTATGAACATTTGCAAATGCTTAGATAGTTAGGTAGTATTTAGAGGATATATTCGCACACTTCGACATGCACATCGACATGCCCGTGTGATGCTGTAAGCGGTACATTGATGTCGTCTAAAGTTAACAGCTGCTAGCAGTGCTCTAAGGCCAAAGTAGAATAACCGTCAGATACTGAGACTAACAGATAGAAAAAGTGCTTTCAATGTGACGCGAGTAGTAAGAATGAGTCAGACGTGCCGACTCAATCTTTCTTGCTGGATCCCAGCTTTTTGAACAGCTTCTTGCCTTTGGAGAAAAAGCTTTTTTTCTTCTTGCCTTGTGGGGAGCAGTCTGTCTTTGATGGGCTGTCTGCAGGGAGGGGGGCCGGAGGGGAGCCGCAGGCCTCCACTGATGCAGCAGGAAGAGGAGCAGGAGCAGGAGAAGGGTCTGATGCTGGGCTTGAAGTGGGGGCCAGTTTGGGGGGCAGGTCTGTGTGCTCTGCTGGGTCAGGGAGAGGAGGTTCTGCTAGGGGGGGCAAAGCTTCTTCTAGGGTTGAGGCCCCAGGATCTTGTTCCTCTGTAGAAGACGTCCAGGTGTCCTTCAGGAAGAGAGTGAGACTTTTAGAATTCTATATTTATTTAGTTTTGCTTAAAATAATAACACAAAAAGGAAACCTAAGGAAAGGGCACACAAAGGACGAGATCAAACTTTTGAATACCCTACAATCAAGGTGCAGGATTTTAGGAGTACAGTTAAGTTAGAGGGAAGAGGACAGGGGACACTAGTGGTGATCGCTGAGCTGCTTTACTCCTCTCTAAAAACACTTACGATCAGGTCTCAAAGTGTACACTTCGTTTGTGCTTCTGCAAAAAGGCCATGCAGGAAACAGTGGGGCGAAAGAAATGCGACAGGGCACGATTAAAGAAATAATGTGAAAAATACGTTTTTCAAGCAAGTTCTTTTTTGTTAAAATTTGATATAAAGTATGTGAGAAGATGAGAAAGTCACAGACAGTTTCATACACAGTAATGCATGCATGCTAGATGTAAATGCTAGGCCACCTGTAGTTCTTTCCTATGGTCTGGTGCCGACTGAGCAGGAGCTTCCTCTGGTACGGCCTGCAGGAAGTTAGAGGGCACCAAGCCTCTGTGTCCATTCAAGTCTCCCTGTAACAAAAAAACCATTAAGGGCATGAGGGCGACTTCTAACAACATGGCTATAAATCAACCTCTGGGTTTTCCGAGGTTGATTTACAGCATTTTAATATAAATCAACAGAAAAGTGAATCAACATTTTTTTGATAATCAATTTATTATTATATTGTATTTATTATTCATTATTATACCTGTGCTGTGATGTAGTTCAGATATTGTATTTATTGAGAAACAACTCCTCTTGCCCACAGTAATTGACGGTAGTGTCATGTTCACACTTACATAGAAGAAGCCATCTTCGTCCATGTCACCGAACACATTTATGATGTCTCCTGCACTGAAGGTCAGCTCAGCCTGATCAGAGCAATACAAGTGAAGCAGATCATTAGCAAACACTTAAAGGGCCATGTCTGGATAACGTATATTATTCATGCGAGTCTGACCTCTATGTCAGTGTTGGGAGAGCTCTCTCGAGGATCATAATCAAAGATGGCGACCATCCTGCGAGCTCCTGGGGCCGGGCCCCCCACAGGTGGAGCTGCAAGTGGAGCGGCAGGTGGAGCAGCAGGTGGAGCGGCAGGTGGAGCGGCAGTCTGGCAGGGATCTGTCAATCAAACAGAGACAATATGATATCCTGATAATTAGAGGAGTAACTCCACTCGGCTCATCAGCATGCAGCTCATCGTGTCTGCACTCACTCAGCGTCATGCTAAGCTGAGGAAAAGTCACATCACTGCAGTCAAACACAAGGAAATACAAATATAACAACAGGAGATTAGAAATCAGTCTTCATTAAAAAGCTTGTCGCAGCTTGAGCTGTAAAAATAAAGACAATGAAATGATGAGTATTAAATGATGCCACTGAAATGAAAAGAGGAGTTAGGAGAAGGGACTGCTTGACGATTATAACTGGGGCTTAACAAAGAACGTAATAAGAAGGCTTGCCCTATTTCTTTTTTAATTGGGCAAGTCTTTCACATAATTGATCATACAATTATTATTCTGCAATTGCAAAGGAATCTTCTTTCTTCTATTGAAAATAAATCATTCTTCAGTATACCCCAGATAATTAAACAGTCCCTAAGAAGGATGAATAATTGTGTTATCAGCAGCTAGAATGTAGTCGAACCATGAACAAAAAGGTTAAAGGAAGGCACTTAAACACATGCTGTCCTCCGGTTGAAAAGGTTGTCTGATCATGCAGGTGAAGCAGAGAGGAAGAGGAGGCAAAGTGCTGACTACAAACCTTGGCTGGAGGAGTCTAAGCTCTCCTCCAAGAGCGCCGCAGACTCCACTGGAAGAGACGAGGTACGGGGAAAAGAGCATGAGCACAATCACAGAATGAGAAGAGACCTCAAGGGCCAACATATAATCCTGTCTCAAGAGCAGGTATGTCATCACACAAAGTTACAGATGGAGATCAGAGGGGATGGATGTCTCAACAAGAGAGCTTTAGGTGATCATGTAATACAGTTGTGACAGAAGCAGAATGTGGCAAAAAGGACTTGGTGTGCTATTAGGGCTGAATAGCTTTTTTTTACGTTTGAAACTCCTATTGATGTTTTTGAGTTTGGGTTTGAATGTCTTTTGACATATTTTACAACGTATTTACCATAGAAAATGAAAAAAGGAGACTATTTGATTAGTTTAAATCATCTTTAGAAATGATTAGATCTATCTTTTTTTTTTATGAGGACGTTTGGACTTTCACAACAGGAGAAGAAAACCATCCTACACAGCCAATCCTGTAAACTATTTACTATAAGTATAATTCTTATAATATACGTGTGCTCCTTATTTGCAACTGTGCAGAAATATATCATTTGAACTATAAGTAGATATCCAAAAACAGCAACAAAATCATAATCCCTTAAGACGAACCTGAGATGGTCGTATATATAACAGCGAAAACAGACCAACTTTAACCTTGGCTGTCACTGTCATGAAGGCATTAAAACATAGGCTAGCGCCCAAATAGTTATTTAAAAGCAAAGCGGCAATGCTTCTCTATAATACAGCAGCGGTTTGAGTGGTGATATGTTGCCAAGATATTATCATACATAGAGTGCGAGCACTCTTTGATGAAAGGGCGGGATGGAGCCAGTTTCTTTTCTGCCAAAGAAGAAAAACACTATGTGTACACACACACACACACACACACACACAACGACACACACACACACACCACACACACACACCACACACACACACACACACACACACACACACACACACACACATCACACACACACAACACCACACACACACACACACACACACACCACACACACACACACACACACACACACACACACACACACACACACACACACACACACACACACACACACACACACACACACACACACACACACACACACACACACACACACACACACACACACACACACACACACACACACACACACACACACACACACACACACACACACACACACACACACACACACACACACACACCTTTTACTGCCACATTCTGCTGCTATGTCTACAATGTATTACATGAATATCCAATGAAAGCTGACAGGACAGACTCAGTAGTCATGTATGTGTCGTTTAACATTTATGCAGGCGTTATTGACAACAAAAGGGAACTTGTGGAGAGATGAAGAGCCAATAAGAAAAGAAGTGTGAAGAATATGCTTTAATATTAGAATATGAAACTACTGTAAAGAGACTGCTGGGAAGCCATCTGACTTTATGACTTCAGCAGCTGAACTAAAAATCCCAACTGGTCGCTGAGTGAGAGGCAGCAACTGCAGGAGCAAAAAGTGAAATAGACAGAAAGAGAAGCAAACCAGAGAGAATAGAGGAGAGAGGTGGGAAGCCGCAATCTGCAGCGTGACACACCTTTCTTGGATCGTCTCGGTTTCGGCGGTGGAACAGGGCGACTGGGAAGCTGTGCATGTGTGCGAGTGCCTTTATGGAGTTTTAGAAGGGAAAACCCAATAAAAAATGAAACCAAAAAGAGACACAGAGGTGCAATTTTTGAGAGAAGCAGACAAGACACAATAGACAATGAGAAGCCAGTGAAGAGCAATTTAAAAAAAAATGGCAACCAGTGAGCAGCAGACAGCAGTGACAACAAGTGGAGGTGAAAAGGTTTAACCATCTGAAAACACTGCTCTAGGTAGAGACTTTCTATTTTTTAGACACCTGCATGAAAATGCAGTCAGCTTCCTGCTGGGTCAAAGGGCCTAAGGGAACAACTTCAATATTTTTCTCCTTTTAATCACAGACTTAAATATATTTGTATGTCTTTTTATACTGCTGGCCAATTCAGAGACAAGGATAATACAAATTAGAATTTAGATCTGGATTCTGAAACACTTTTGCTGCTATTTCCACTTACCACTTAAACATGAAGAACAGTGATATTATGAAATCAAACCGTTTGAATTAAACTTCAACTGAAACATATCAAACTTTACATCACAACATCATCAGGAATCACACCTCTGTTTGTGGGCCCTTCTTGAAACAGTTTCACCTACCTATTTTCTCCATGGAGGCGGCTGTGGACAGGAAGCCCTGCTGCAGGAGCTGCTGCCGGGTCTCCTCGTCCTCCACCTGGATCTCTGACACCATGTTACATGGCACGTATCCCAGGTGACCCGCACACTCTCCTCGGTAGAACCCGTCTGCGTCTTTATCTCCGAAAACCTGGGGGGAGAGTGTTCACATTTTCAAAAATGTTTGGCAAATTAAATCATTTAAAATACAAGGGATTACTCAAAACTGAAGACTTCTTTGAAACATAATTGTACAGGTAACAAGCAATTTCTTGAAAATGTAATCTTGTTTGAAAATGTATTTATTTTGAGAAAATTAAGACATTTCTTCTACACTAACAATTATTAAACAAATGAGTTGGCCTATTTTCAGAAATGTTAAAAAATCACTGATGTTAAGGTAATCTTATATGGTTTGCATTTTCAACCTTGGATTATAAAAAACATGCATAATGTCATGGTTATTCCAGCATTATGTGTTGCGGGGACATACTTTGATGATCTGTCCTTCAGAGAAAGGCAGCTCTTCCTCAGCAGCGTCAGGATTGGGTGACATGACGACGGGATCATAAGGGAAGAGGGCCACAAAGATACGGACGTCACCGTCTGCTTTGATTTTTGGTGAATCGACATCACCTGCAGAAACACACAAACACTCACATGGTAACAAATACTTCCTTGCTATGCATATACCATTTATATAATTAAATAAAGCTTGTTCACAGGTTAATTATTCAACAAGTGGTGTTGAGCAATCGTTTCCTTAAAATGTCCAAAAAGTAAAAATTTTGCAATTTTTTATAAAATGTGGATTATGAAATACTGCTAAACTATTTTCATTTTCAGTCAAGAATTTAAGAACGTTGGATTTGAGACATGAAATGATAATTCTGTTAAAGTGCAGCCATTAATGGGCGCTACAGCCCTATGATAAATTAGTTACTGAAGTATTTTCATAAGTTTAAGAAGTATGACTTCAAGTAAGAATATGTAATTACTTGTTTTTATTTATGCATTATTTTATAAAATGTATTTTTTTTAAGGCAATTTCTGTTTATCTGTTAACTATGCCTTTATATATCATCTTTATACAATGAATAGTCACTGCTATTGCACTGCACACTGTGCACACAAGCCCTGCAAAGCTTGCAATGTGCTCTGCAAATAGCAGAGGCAGCTCTCCCCTCCCCCTCCCCAGCGCCTGCACTGCTGCTAACGCTGCCCGCCGAGCACAGGCATGTCCTTAAAAGAGGTAATCAAGCTCAACCACTGATCCTAAGCTGTGTGAGCCGTTTGACAAGCGTGCACTCGCTCATGATCTGCAGCGGGGGTTTGACCCACTCTCTGATCTAAATCTGAGGACGCTCACGTACACAGGCGAAAAGAAAAAGAGTGTTATTGAAGGTGTGATGTCACCAAGAAGCCTTTAAAATGTAGCTTGCAGCCTGGTTTACATGAGGTTTGACACTTGTGTGGCAGAAAGCATTACACCTGTCGCCTATTTGACAGCGAGCGACACATTTGAAGAGCTGTAGTGAGACTTTAAGCTGAGCTGCAGAGATGTGTTCTCTATCTCATTAGGAGGAATCAGCCCATCTGTGGCAAGAGTCACGGGCAACACACTTTCACATCCTCAATGATCTTCTAGTAGATAGAGGTAGAACTTCTCCCTGCTGCCTTCCTCTATCTGCATGCACGTGTGTGTGTGTGTGTGTGTGTGTGTGTGTGTGTGTGTGTGTGTGTGTGTGTGTGTGTGTGTGTGTGTGTGTGTGTGTGTGTGTGTGTAGTCAACCGTACACCACACACATTTACCAGAAAGTGTAGGTTTATTAAATGAAAGAGCAGCCTGTATCATCGCTGAGAAGATTAAAAAGGGACGTGACTTTCTCACTGTAGGCCGTTTCTTTGCTGGCTAATCGAGGTTACTATTTTAATGTTTGTCACTTCCTCCTGCCATGACAAGCCACTTTGCGTTAAGCCGTTTCTCAGCTTAGCAGCATCTCTTGCACTTACATTACTTGCAGATACACCCCCCCCCCCCCCCCCCCCCCCCCCCCCTCCCTTCCTACACAAGGTGCTAATCTGACCACCATCATGAGAGAGAGAGAGAGGGTGAGGCTTGCCAACAGTAAGCACAGGTGTCTCAGCTTCAACAAGAGAGAGAAAGAAATCAAGAAACATGAAGAGGAAAGAGGAAAGAGTGTCTCACCTCTGAGTTGTCTGGCCTGTGAGGAAGCTGGTTTACAAGGGGGCTCACCCTGCACCCCCCACGATGGACCCGCCTCAGCTGGAGGGATCTGACTGGGCTCCTACAAAAAAAGGGAACAAGAGCATTTGAAAAAACATCTCATTCAGAAACATTACTACTGGGGAGAAGAGGGAACCTTAGGGGAAAATGTACAGAAAATGCAGCTGTCCATGTTTAAAATCATCTATGTTTTATCCAATGCCAATTTAATTTCCAGCATTGTACCCTTTCCACATGAAGATTTTTCCTTTTGGTGGGGTTACCGGACAGTTTAAAGCGCATATACTGTAAGCCAATGCAGGATAAGACAAAGGGGGGCGGTTAACAAGTTGTACGAGGACATGAAAGCAACAGGAAGTGAAGTCAAACAGAGGGAGAAAATAATCAAATTGCCCGATCCATCTTAGTTGTATGCCTCCGAGTTCATCACTACCTTAAAAATCGATGCCTGCATTTTTAAAGTTGTGCATCACAAAAGCTTATGTGCTATGACGCCAAACACGGCGTACAAGCTGCTGGAACAAGAGGTGCACAAAAGGGGGGGAAATAGTCTTACGTGTGGCTTCATTTCACAAAGAAAAATAACAACATTGGCGCTTGTAATATTTGTGTAAGGACTAACAAATAGTTATTTATAAAACAGCTGTATGGAGGCTAAAAACCTATGTAGAACAAAAGTTTGTTCCACACAGAAAATTGATAAGAAATAAATAAGTGAACCTGAGTGATTGATAATAGAATAAAACCTCATCAATTGACATCCATATTTCAAAATCTGAAGCCACAGGTTGATGATTAAGTGTTTTAAAAAAATTGCAACTACTTTCTTAGCAACTCAACTACCATGCCATCAAAAATATATACTTCAAACCACAAATATAGCACAGAATGTGCTCCCTAACCTCCCCGTCACTACGGTGATGATGATGGGAAACGTTACTCGCTAATGAACAGAGGAGTTTTTTGTTATCTACTAAAAAGGACTCGGAGGGATTGATCCACACTGCTACAGAGAGGAGGAGGGGGTGGGACAACAAACCCTTGGCAGCTGTCCTGCAGCAACATTTACCGGCGGGTCAGCTTTCATTCCTCTGCGGTGAGCGGGTCTGCCGTGCTCCATCGGAGCCCCCTCCACCCACCACTCAGAGCACATCTGCTCCATCCCCACCTCCTCGTCTGTGCCGTAATCCACGTCAATCTCCACCTCGTGACCTAGGGGCGGCATCAGAGTCTGTTTCACCTGGCTGACCGGGTGAGTTCTTGGCGGGATGAGTCCGGGGTTCATGGCGGCGGCCATCTGACTCCTGATCATGGCCTCCCTCCTGAGGCGGTCCCCGAGGCCTTTGAGCAGCGATCTGTCTCTGCTGTAGGGGGGAACCTGGGGGGGACAGCGGACCCGCCTGCTGCTGGGACCCTCATATAAATTCATGTCTTCTTCTTCAGGGTAACCCATGTGCTGCGTCCGAGGTCTGTGCCGGAGTAAAGGCTCTGTGGTTAGGGTTCTGGGATCCCTGTTGAAGTGGTGATGGTGAGGGGGTAAATTGTGGTGATGCGGGTAATGCTGGGGGTCATGGTGGGGGCTGGGCCTGTGCCGAGGATGACCACGGTGGGCTAAACGCTCCTCTTGACTGCTCTCTTCCTCAGGGATGATGAACATCTGGTCGTGGTGCACCTCAGGGGGCAACTTAAGAATCCTCTCAGGTAGCTCCTCCTCACTGTCTGGAGTCCGCACATTGCGTGACTACAAGGTCAAATGTCAAATTGAGCAAGAATGCATTGGTGATGGTGAGATTGGATAGTATTTTTCAGTGAAAATAAAAAAAGTGCAGAAAAACAGAAGGCAATCCGATCATGCAAAAGGAAAGAGAAAAGAAAGAGAAAGAAAAAACAGAAATAATCAAGCATGGTCACAAGCATGACAAGGCCACTGAATGATAACTGAACTATGCAAGAAAAGCTGAACGCAGCACATCTTCCACAGGATATGCAATGCACTCATTCCTTTACCATGTTGGACCTGACAGTGTAGCCCCTGGCCTGTGCGTGTCCGAAGTGGTCCGAGTAGAGTTCCTCCTCCTCCTCCTCCAGGATGTCCGACAGATCTGAATGGCTTTTGTCTGCGAGGTAGTCACTGGGAGGCTCCACAAGCCCTCTGCTGTGACTCTGAAATGAAAGACGTTGACATTATTAAACAAACTATCCAATTGACCAGACACTTTGAATCCCTTTTAGTATTTCCATTGAATGTAGAATAAGATATATTAATCTGCAAGTGAAACAATAACTTATTGCAGATACATATACTGCTAAAGGCATCAGATTATTCAGGCCTTCTTCTGGCATTGGCCACATGCATTTACCCTAAAGAAATAGCACTGGTAATAGCTAGCGTTAATGAAATATGTATTCATTTGTGATATAGGCTTGCCTTATACAGAAGCAACAATTTGAAGAAATTCAAGCTCAAATGCAGTTTTGCATTATGCATCGTCTTTATTTATTTAACATTATAAAATTATATTTAAAATGTCCACTCAACAAATACTTCGACCGAATACGTAAGTGTTAATCAGGGTTTTTTCAGTTCCCCAAGTTAATTGAAGACTGTATAAGTCCTTTATTGTCAGATATAATACATTTAGAAATGTGAAAGCTTGGGTCTAGAATTATTATTATTATATTTACATTTCTAAGTAATTCCCATAAGGCTAACTTGGATATTTTTCAGCCTGAATCCTGTTTTTTCTTGCCTCCCTTAGTCACTTTGAAACAAAAAATAGGATGCAGGTTAAAATGTTGTACCCTTTAAGTCGAAGAAATAGTGTTTAGGGATTTATTACAGCCACTTTATTTGTAAATGTTCATCTATTTCATATAAAAACTGCCTTTTCTTTACTTTTAAAATGATTACATCAATGGTTATTGGTCAATATGACACTTTTGAAGGACTCAACCAAAGATTTCATTCCCCTTTTCAAATCAACATTATTTTTTGTCGTAAAGAGAAACTACTTCAAACAGTGGTTGTGCTGACCTGCTGGTTCCTGCTGTATGTCGGCTCTGGATCGTGTCTCAGGAACTCCTCCATGGACACCATGCGGGTGTTCTCCTGATCCTCCTCCGCCTCGGACTCCAGCGGTGAGGAGCTGGGGGGTCGGTGGATGTTAATGTCCTGAGGGTTAAGGAGGTCCGTGATTGGGGCTTTGGGCGGGGTAGGGATGCGCTCAGGGGTCCCGAGCTTGGCACTGACACTGGGGTTCTCGATGAAGTCTGAGATGGATGGGAAAGGACGGACGATCCCAGGGCTGTCAGGGTCTCTGCGCTGCTCCAACACTGCTGCCACTGCTGCTGCTACCATCACTGGGGCTGGGGCAGCTACTGCTACTGGAGGTGGTCTAGGGGCTGAGGAGGTCGGGGAGATCACGTTCACCTGAAGATGAGAAACAGTCAATTCACAATTTAGTTCACTTGATTTTTGTAGAAATGGACAAGGTTTAGGATAACTTTGATATATGTTATATAAATAATATGCTAAATTAGCTATTATTAGTTCCTGTTTGAGGTGTACACATGGATTTACAGACAGTTATCATTTAAAGAAGAATTATTCTAAGGCATGTATAGGATCTATTTGCAGATTGATGGATGTTTATTTATGATGGACAAAGACTATCCCTTCACCCTCCACACTACCCTGTAGAGGCATGGCTAGCAGTTCAAAAACCTCTGATCTAGAAAAATAAATACATAGTTGCCCCTTTATGCACGCAAGGATGGAAGAGTAATGTTTACCACTGGAATAATGTTGGAGGCTGCAGGTAATGCGGCCTCACACGCAGCAAAGGCAGCAGCAGAGGAGGGGTTGGCCCAGGCGTTCACATATGAAGCAGACCAGTGAAGAGTTTCTGAGTGGAGAGCATAAGAAGGGTTGGCAGCAGCCTCCCCTGCGAGGCCAGAGGTGTCTGAGTCTGATGGCAGCATGGAGACTTTGGCAGCACAGTTCCCATAGGACGGAGGTGAGGACAGGCTATTGACTCCTGTAGGGGTGCAGGGCTGAGGTGGCATAACTGGGGCGGGGAGGGCCGGTCCTGCCATGATGGCAGCCAGCTTGGTGGGCACATTGACTGGCAGAGAGTCGCAGGACTCCCCGTGGACGGACATGGTGCGGACAGTGAGCTCCTGAGCTGCTAGCAGAGACTGCATCTGAGACGGGCCCAGCAGCGCACTGCCCGCTGTGGGGGAAGACACCTCCAGCACCTTGAAAGGACAACAGGTACAATCATTTAATTCACACATCATATTGACATTAAACATTTTAAACAGGAAACTAATTGCGATTATTTTGACTAATATTACAATTGTGATAGGAGACAAGATCATTTTGCATCATTATTCTCATTATCATTTAAAAATATATGATCATGGAGTGATTTATTACTTAACAAATATTAGGCTTACTGTGATTTCCATATTGCGGTAACAAACATTCTTTGATTAATTGTGCAGCCCTTATATATACTGACAATAAATTGCACTGCTTGCTTGAGAGGAATATATATATATATATATATATTGAGGTGATACATTATCAGAAGATAATGGGAAATGTATATTAATAAGTATTATTCTGATAATAGAATTATAGCCAAAACATTATGGGCTGATAATACAAAGCCATATTGGATTTGATGACTTAGCATGTTTATCATCTAAACATTCTGATAATTTAAGTGGTGGTGACTAAACAAGGAGGCAGCCAAACAAGTCATCTCTGGTGTGGATGTTTTTATACATTTTTAGAAGAAGAAATCACATTTGCTATTGGCAATGCAAGCTTTTTATGTCTGTTACTAGAGACAAATATTTGAAGAGTCAAAAGTGTTATTTACTTTTGTTGTTAACAATATAATTTCAGTAGAATAGAATATATAACCTTCCATTTTTGCTCAGAACATCGTAGCCTTTCTTACCCCCATGTGTTAATAAACTATAGGTTATGAACTACATTTGAAATGACAAAATGTGAAATTATCCGTTATTTTATCTGTTGAAGAAATAATGAATTGTATGTATCCCTAACAGGAATGTTTAACAATAAATAACCACGTTTTTACCTTTTTCTTGTCAGCATATATAGTGTATCCAGTGACCCTGACTCCGTTGGAGGTCCCGGTAGCATCTATAGTGACAGGCAGCCAGCTGATGAGGGCGATGCCGGGGGAGGGGCCGTGCTCCAGCTGGACATCCAGAGGAGCATCGGGGGGACCTGCAAAGCCAGTGGCAAGCAACACATGAAGACGTTTTTAATATAAATATAGAATCAAGTAATTATATCAAATTGAAAACATGGTTCAAGGGTTCAAAAAGGGTTCTCTCCAGTGGCGGCGCTAGGGGGTGGCTACTTGGGCTCAAGCCCCGGATGTTTTCTGAAAAGCCCCGGATGTTTCACTTTTTTTAAAAAACGTCTCGGGAGTAATGTGCAGTACCGGAGTCCACCAGAGAGGCAGCCACTGTGGGACATTAGCCTGCGTACTGCGTAGCCTGCCCTGAAGAAGAAGTGATCCTTCCTAGTGCCTGACGAGTTTTAAGCTAATAGCCTATACAGTTATGGATATTAGAAAGTTATTGTCATCGAAGCAGGCGCCACAAGCTGCAGCAGCAGCAGTATCAGCAGCTGACAACAATGTCATCACCAGCAGTCAAGAAATGGATGATGTTTCAGGTTTGTTAATCTAATGGTGATATCTCTGGCTGACTGAGTAAGAAGTGAAAAAGAGTGATGTAACGTTAATGTTATAGCTAGTAAACATGGAGTAACCACACTAAGTATACCCTTATATGTTAGTATGTATACAGAACATGACTACAAATTATCCTAGGATGTAACGTTAACCCTTCATACCTCAGTCTACTTTTAAGACACTAAAATAACGTATTCCAATTTTTATTTAGTTTTCACGCGTGGAATTATACCGGCTCTCGTTTCAGTACACATAACAACAGAACTGACAGGCAACCCTCTGAATCAGACTCCGATTGGCTGTGACTGCATCCACTCAGAGTGTCCGATTCAGAAACGTGACTCTTACAGCCCGTCCACACAGCGGCGTGCGTTGAAGCTTCCAACGCTTCTGCCCATTCACTTTGAATGGGGTGACGTCACTTTTAGCCGAACTGCATCGTGGGAAGCGACGCGGAGCGTTGCTGGCGTGGCTCGCTGCAAAAGTAGAGCAATGCTCAACTTTTGACACCTCGGCAGAAGCGTCAGCCAATCGAATCATATGCCAGTACAAGCTCTAGCCAATCAAACCGCTGCTTGTGTGTCAGGGGTGGGAGATTCATGTGATTGGTTGTTGGTCGAGTGTCAGACACGCCCACCGGCAAGCGTCAACGCATGCCGCTGTGTGGACGGGCCGTTACACTCTTTACGTCACAAACAAAGATGGTGGATGAGAATAGATCTATAAAACGATAAGCAATGCGCCAGAATCAAGGTGAGACTATCCGCATCCTTTAAAACTCTACGCACATTCGTTTCACCTTAATAAGTAAACGACTATTTGAGTGAGTTAAGGCATTAGTTTGCTTCATTAAAGGGTGTTAATGAGTGTTCTCCAGTGCCTTTTGTCCGCTTTAAGGTGTTATTAAGGTAGGGTTAATGTTGCTCTCAAAGTGCACCAGATTGATGCTTTCAACTTCAACATTTAAAAAAAATCTTCCCGGGGGAGCATGCCCCCGGACCCCCCTAGAGGAGGCGACGACCCCCCTAAAAGATGTTCGGTCCACCCCCCACTTATAAAAAATAGCACTGTACCCCTGCACCCTCACCCCCCCAACCCAACGACTCCTGGGCTAAGCCCCGGATCTCCTACAATCCTAAATCCGCCTCTGGTTCTCTCAATGGGAATATTACTCTACAGATAACAAGTCTAAACTCTAACGGGACATTAAGACACTTAAGATGAATATACCTGAGTTCCAAGACTGTGGGCTTGAAACTAAAGCACATTTGAATGATCATTTAGGGAAACACAAATAAAATCCAATACGACACCAATCACAAATATGCATTTAAAAGTATCTATTCAGTAAAATGAAATGTTGTTGAGTGACATCAATGACCAAGTCCTTGCTTTGAGCTTCACACAGATTTCCAATTCTTTGAGCCTACCCTTTCATTCTTGCGCAATGCTTTGTTGGCAGGGCACGGAAATATGAAACATAATGACAAAGGACACTTTAGGATAATGAAGCCTCTTTGAAGTAATGCATTCTGTGCCAAGGTGGTTTTGCTGCTTAGTAAAAGAGAGGCGAGTCACAGCAGCACACAAGAGCAGCTCTCATGAATAAACTGATGTCCTTGTGTGGGAGGTAGACAATCAACTGATTATAAGATATCATATGAATAGAGTGCTGCAGTGGTGACGTTTTTTAGAACATCACCGAGGATAGCATCGCCCTTTACAAAAAGTCAATCTGATTTTTCATTTCATATTGGATAATTGCAGAAAACAAGATTTGAGTCAAACAAACAAACGCTTATGATACCTTCACGTTAAGTTGAGCAGATAATATTCACAAAAGAACACCATTTTGACCATTAGTAAAAATCTAACGTTATAGGCAATAACTAAACATTGGTGCATGTCTTCTACATCAGCACCAGTGAGCTCAAGGCTCTTTAGCCACTTGTTAACAACAGCCTCTTTAAGACTCGTTTAGTAGCTTCACAATTCACCACACTGACAAATATTATGTCCTAGAAGAAAAACAAGAGACAGTCTTTATTTCATGAATCTAACCAAAAATCTATTTGTATAAACACTAAAGGATATGCATTAAAATAAAGTGACTTTTAAGTGCATTTGAACTAATACAAGCTTAGGATTTTCTAATTATATAACTGGAGCAGCTTATTTTAAACACATAATGTACTTATTACTTATATATTTCTAGCTACACTATCAGGCTGTAGTTATTATTTTTAAAAGATTATTTTTTGAAAACGTTTCATCTGCATTGAACATTTTAGGCAGACAGGCAATTACTCCAGTCAATCATAAAAGTTTGATATGATTTCATTTTTAATGAAGCAATGTTTGTCTTATTGGTGTCTCATATACTACGTGTTAGTGTAGTTAGCATGGCTCCCTTAGAGAACATCTGATCATCCTGACCTGCCATCAGTGTGGTGAAGGTGATGGTGGCGCTCCTGTGTTCCCGTCTCTCCACAGGTAACTCCCATGGCGTGCGGTGCGGCCGCGCCTCCACCTTGACCATGTACTGCATGCTGGGCAGGAGGTTATTGAGGCACAGCGAGCAGCAGCCAGCCTTCACCAACTCACACTCCTCATCGTTCAAGGACACAATGTGCACATAGTTACTGTTGCTGGGCAGCCAGGACAGGTAGGAAGAGGTTGCGGTGATCCTCTCCAGACGCAGCTGCGTGGGCGCCACACACACGTCCCGACCGACCAGCATGCTGCAGCGCATCTGGTCCGACGGGCCCTTCTCCGTCAAGCTCTGCACTGACACGCGGTAGGCCTTGAGGTTTATGTCCAGCCTCTCCAGCACTGCTTTGGTCTGGGCCCCGAAGGGCACGTTGAGCCGCAGCTCCTGGTCCACAAACACATTGTAGCTCCACACATTGCCCCAGCCAGCCGGCACCAGCGGAGGGTCCCAGCCAATGATGATGCTCTTGGCAAGCTGCTTGATGAGGGTAAGCTTACGTGGGTAAGGCACAACGTCCACTCCCACCTCCTCCAAGTCCAGGTCCAGGCCGTTGGTGAGGGGGGCTGGGACAGCCAAGGCCGATGCTGAATCTGAGGGGGCTGAGGGGGGGGGCAGGGCAGCCGGGGCAGCCGGGGCAGCCGGGGCAGCCGGGGCAGCCGGGGCAGCTGGGGCCACGGTCCTGCCTATCTGGAGGTGATGCTGGTGGCTGGCACTGTGCAGGCTGCTGTCTAGCAGGGAGTTATGGGACATGTCCCCCGTCTCTGGGTGGTGAGTGCTCATGACGTCGTCGTCCGATACGCGTTCCACAAAGTTAGAGGGGACCAGCCCTCTCCGTCCGTCCATCAGCTCACCTGCAAGGAATCACATTGAACACTGAGTACCATGCCAAGACAGTAATATAAAAATGTAGATGCAACAAATGTTACATTATATTTACCTTCATAGAAGCCATCGTCATCCATGTCTCCATACATGTAGATGTATTCTCCGGCAGTGAGTGGAAGCTCCACCTCAGGGTTGTCATTGGGGCCGTCATATGGATTATAGCTGTAGAAATGAATGATTAGCAAGGAAGTTACTTTTAATCACACATTAGAAAACTGTTGAAACAGTTAGCTCATGATTTAGTTTACCTGTATCTTGCAATGAAGACCTGAAGTTTTGCCGCTGCTCTGCTGGTTGTGAAAGGAACCGGGGCGACGTCAATATCCAGCTCCTCCACTTCACTGGCGGTGTCCACCTGAGAACACCATGGACAGAAGATGACGTTTGTGCAAGCAACTTATATGTTTCATTTAGTTTTGATGAAACTGTTCTCTGGGCTTGCCAAGTACAAATCTGGAGTTGAAAAGTGAGTTTTTCTATTTTTATTATACTCATTATATTTGAGAACAAAAACAGTAGTCCCATGTGTTCAACGTCAATAAATGAAAAAATAAAATAGCCGTTTGTCAGAAAGTACAGGTCTGACATTCAATTGTGGAATTTATGAACTCATAACAAGTTATAACATGCATACACAGATATGCAACAAAAAAATAATTGTATCGAATACATTTAATAAACATAATTCTAACATAGACTTTGACTATTGATTAAAGCATCCAATCCAGATATTAGGACTAAACAAGACAGAACAAATGTGTCATTCTTCTCTAATATACACTATGGGCACAGAACGTAAATCCATAAAAGAAACTGGGAATATACTGTGTAAAATATATTTGTTATATGGTGATCTAATATCAACAAGTTTGTGGAGAAACACCATTGTACCTGAGAATAGTTTCCATAAACAGTAGTTACACGCATCACAACAGAGGGCTTGTATATTTATAGCTCCCTGGGAAAACCTTACAACTACTGCTGTATAACCTTCACAATCCATAGCGCCAAATGGATTATCTCACTACATTTGAGCTTTATTGAAATGTGGGCAGACAAGGATAGACTAGTTGAAAAGACCACCGAACCTGCAGAACCAGACCAAAATAATTAATCATGGCGGATCCTCATAACCCTATGAATGAGCAGAGGGAGCTTGAGCATATTCAGCTACAGTGTATGCTCGCGTGAGATGACATGGAAGCTAAGGAGGGATTTTAATCCATTAAATCCACGCAATCAATCTGATTGTGCATAGCTTTTCGTCTTGGTAATCTTGATGAGCATTCTGCATGTCTGTGTGGAAACAAAGAAAGCAGGAGAGATGCATGCAGCAGGAGTCCTGCGCCATGACATAACCTACGACCAACACCTTACCCAACACATGCAGGTGTTAAGGCAGCTTTCAAATGTAGTAGCCATCTTACTGGGGTTTCACAACGTTTTTTTAAGTGTTAATCCATGCCTATACACTGTTTTATAATATGAGAGGTGAAATATATTCTTACTGTACGTTTCGGTCAATATCGCTTTGCCTTGAAAGCAGCAACTCATTTTACAATAGGTTAATCATGAAATCTATGGCAAAAATGTCAGCTTTTAAATATGTGGATTTCCTGCTTTCTCCTATTTATATCCTATTAAAGTGAACATCGTTGGGATCTGACAAAACTAGACAGTAAAACACATCACCTTGGACTTTGAGAAAAAGGAATGGACATTTTTCACTATTTTCTGATCTTTACTCCTGATTCTGTGACACGTTACAAGGGATGCACTGTACCTCGTGAGTTGGGCTTGATTTGTGCGGGCTGAGGTGCGTGTCAGACTTGGGGGTGAGGTGCGTGGGCTCTGACTTGCTGGAGGAAGACTTGCTGACGCTGATGGTGGGCAGCTCTCGATGCTTGGTGACGGGCGAGCGCTCCACCCTGGACAGCCCTGCAGCGTGGGGGGTGGACCCGAGACGCAGCGCAGCGGCCACATCTAGTAAAAGAGGGGAAGAGGATATACATAATCCACGACTTGAATAGACAGCGCCGACCCTCACTAGTTAAACTGGTCCACGAGCGGCAAGGTGGGTCAGGTCACTGGTTTACATGCCGGAAGGCTCAAGGTTGAACCTGGCTGATTAAACAGAGGAGGAGAAATCCCGTCTCCATCTCCATCTGTCTGAGGTCAGAGGTCTCACTACCTTGTGTCACACGAGCACTGTTAAGGGGCTTAACCAATTCACTTCTCACCTCAGCACAAGAGCGTGACCCTTGTGCGCTGGTGAGCGTTACAGGCAGTGCTGGACTGTGACGGTGTGGGTGAGATAATGGGGGAGAACATGCCGTGCTTTTGTGACACATTTATAATGAGGCGGAGAGAGTACCGAGCGGAGCATTTACCCTCAGGGCAGGAGAGAGTGTCACCTCCCTCGAGACTCCAGAAGGCTATCTCGCCCAAAGACACCATATCCCATGAGCCATCAGTGCAGTCTAAAAACATATGAAGAGTGTAAGGAAAGAGAGGTTGAAGACATTTGTGGGATGGATACACTAAGAAAGATAGAGATGATTTTTGCACTAATGCTTTTATTTTTTGGGGAAGTGTGGCTGGTATTACAATACTATAGTTTTCTGAGAGGGAAGGGACATTTGAAATGCCTTGGCCTTCACAGCTGAGATTAAGCTCAGTTTGTATTTGTGATGCATAAAAGAGAAACACGGGTTAAAAAACATCCCATGTGACGTTACTGTTTAAAAGGAAACTACACATTTACCAAAACATCATCCCTATACCAAAATAATGTATCTCTGATGAAAGTTAAAAAAGTTATTTGGATGATTTTAATACATTCTGTCTTTAAGTGGATTGACGGTCTATCGAGATTCCTAAGGTACTGTATGCTTTTGTTTCAGGGGAATTGAATGAATCCAATAACACCAACAAAGTGTATCCACCATGACATTACAACTATGGTTAGACAATGTCTTAAACTGTATTATTATCTTGATACAAGACTGAAAACATGAGAATACTTTCTCTGTTGTCCTGAAGATCATGTGACAATGTAACTTCAAAAGCACCACTGTGTATTTGCAAATTCACCAAAACTCATTCATTTACCACAAACATTTTGCTATCATGTTATAGCAGGTGCATATTTAGTTTATATTAAATAATCCAAAGCAATGCATTTGTCTCACCAGTTCAGTAAGAGGAACAATCTGTATTGTTTAAATATAAACTCTAATGTACAGCAACAGTAAGGAAGCGATTGAGAACAAACAAGCTGAGTAACTAACAGTCTCTCTAAACAGCTTGTACTACTGTATCATGTGTGAGTACATATCACGGTGGTGTGGCTCACCTCGCTCCGAGGTCAGGCCCACCCCGTTGGTCAGAACCGAGAGGCTGGCGTTGTTGAAGAGGCCAGCGCTGGCCAGGTCCGCCTTCGAAGCCTGTAGTCGAAACTTCTCCAACTCATGGGATAGCAGGCCGAACTGTTCGCTCTGGCTGCGACATTTATCCTCCAGGTCTCGTACCTTGGACTGCCCATACAGCATGAAAACAGTTTACAAACAATGTACTTCAAATGGGGAAAATCAATACATTTATGGGCAACGGTGTGAAGAATTGTTAGCATTTACTGCGCCTTTCTATACACATGGAACATGATTTGCTTTTGTGCACATTTATGATTATTTTGGTAGATGGATCACATTAGCAGCATAACATTTACTTTTATGTGCTGCTAATGTAAGATATCAATAATACATTTTAAAAAGAAGCACTGCAAGATATTGTTAGATTTTTGTCAGTGCTAGTTTGCTAGAAGCTTCAAACACAAACAGCAGAGGAATACAGGTTTAGATGAAAGGGAAAAAAGGCGGGAAGTCTTTAGCTAAGATGGGGAAACAAGAGTAAAAGTCATTTGGAGGGAGGTGCATATAGTGTAGGTTATGAGAAGTTAAAGTTGCCGCTTCTGTTTTCATTCACTTTAACAAAGCCAGTTTACAGCAGGGTTATTTGTCAGAAGTTTGTTTCAGCTCTACTGAGTTTCTATATGAGGCCGATTTCACTTCAGGTTGCGGTGGCAGTTTCCTGGCAGGCTCATCAGACAGAAGCCTCTGCATGAAACTGAGTGAACAACATTTCCTGTTAGCTGTCACCTACGCAGAAAAACCTAGTGTGACAGTCAGTTGTTATGTAGCTACACTGAACTGAAGTGGAACTGCAACACAGAGGGAAATCAAATCCTCAAATAAATCCTCAACTAACACAGCAAGTCCACTAAGAAGATCAAATAACAATTTTAACTTAAGAATAAGTGTTGATACACCGTCATCTGTGAATTACCTTATTAACACATACTAGCATTACATGTGGCCACAAGAAGCATAAATAAAAAACGAATTTACTAACGTACAGACAGTTATTACTGAGGATTTAAATACACATATACTGTATGGGGTTTGGTGGTTCTATCTACAGGGAGGTTTTTATGGCAGGAAGTAAATCATTTGGCCAAGCAACAGTACCTGCATGCAGTCCAGTGTACTCTGGTTAGCAAAAAGGTCACACAAAAAAGGAAAACAAAAGTAAACATGCTTGTGAAATAATAAATCCCAGATAGAGAATATATATAAGAAAGTGAGAACACAGCAGTCTGAATCCAGGCAGGCAAGAAAATCCTGTATCACTAGAGTGTGTCTCAGCCAACGCCTGCCTTTGGAATTAATTAGGATATTCTGTTAAATGTAAAAAGGCAGCATGTACACAGCTCTTGAGAGCGAATGAGACTTTCTCCTGTGATGCTTTGGGGTTTAAATAGTGACAGCAAGTGAGAGAAACAAAGCAAGAGGAAGGAAACAAGCGTTTAAAAAACTGGAGCAACTATACTCTACCAGCTCCCTCCGCAACACAAGCTGCGTCAACTCCTAAAATAAAATACACACTTATTTTAGCAAAATGTGTGGAGAACAGAGCACAATGTATACTGTAGTATACTGGGGGAAGACTATTTGGTGCTTTTTTCATTATTTGAAATCAGCAGCCAATCATACAGACGGGGACTTCCACTGTCATCAAATGTCTGCTTTCATTTTGAATTTACACACACTGAGAGCGAGTATAAACGTCACACAGTGGTGGAGCAGCCATCTGTTCAAACGGTTTTTCAGGGCCATGAGTGGAACAAAAATACAAGTATGAGTATTTTCTGCAACAGCTTCTCTGCCAGGTGTTCAGATAAGGAAACATGGTGCTGCAGGTTCATGCTGATTCAGTGGAAATGAGATGTCTTTTGTCTATTAAACCCTGGGAGATAATTAAATATGTATACTTGTTTTACTTGGCGTAAGGGAGATAAGAAACACCTCCTTCAATCATTAATTGAGACAGAAATTCACTAGTGTATGAGACAACTACTGAGGAAGTCTGAAACACATTCCTCCTTTCTCAAATGTCTTCTCAAACTCTTTTGTGTCTGACACCATTGATTTTTGTTTTAGCAAGTCATTTTACGTTCTCGAAAGCAACTCCGAGCTTATAAAAACACTACACTGTGAAGATATAATGTGTTGGGTGTTACACAGACTTACCTCCAGCATCTGAACAACTCCTTCATGCTCCCTCTTGGCGTATAACTGAGCCTGAGGATAAATAAAAGGCATTGTAGTCCCTTTATTGTTGTTTGCTCGTAAAATTCTCAAGCTCGGTTGACACTTATGGTTTTATTGGTGCCCAAAGGTTGCCTCCTGCTGGCTGAAGCCAATCATTCCCCAAAACATGAGCTTAAAAGCTGCCTAAGGGTTCGATTCTAGCAAGAAAATTAATAACATGCATAAATTGTACACGAGGCTGTGGTTCTTACCCGCTGTAACCGTTTGATTTCATCCTGTTTGAACTTAAGGATAGCCAGTGCCTGATCATGTTCCAATTCCAGCTGCTGCCTTCGCTCGGCGACCTCACGCATATGCTGTTCAGAAAGAGAACAAATATCAGAAGGCCATTTTTTTCAGCGGGGGATAAAGCTGTATCTGAGCCCAGCAGTACCTTTAGGACCTGCTCTAGGTTCTCCAGTTTGGCACGGAGTCTCTGGTTCTCCTCGAGAACTGAATTGTGTTGAGCGGTCACTTCAGAGAGATCTTCCCTCAGCTCCTCATTCTCAGCCCGAGTCTGACAAACAGGAGAAAGGAGAATTATGTCAGAATGATATTATTGACAATATTATTTTACATTTGACTGCCACACTAGTATGGACTGAAAAGTCAGAACACTTGTCCTACCTAGGTGGATGCTTTCTCATAATGTCAATGCATGCGCAGATCTTCTCATTTCCTTTTAAGAGCTTGTCTGAGCAGGTAGACCCTTACCTGGTCGAGCAGCAGTGCCTTCCTCCTGAGGAGATCTGCCTCCTCCTTTAGTCGCTCATTTTTGCCTCGCTCATCCTCAAGCTGGCTCTCCTGTTACCAAAACAGTTCAGATAAAACGAAGACAAGCCATGTCTTTAAACTCATCCTTATGTCCACTATGATAGGACTGTAGCGAACAGTTCCAAACCTCATTTATAACATCAAATTGTAAATTGACCTCTTACAGCATTTTTTTTCATTCTGTTTAAGCCTATTATTGCTGCACATTTACACATAAAGATTAGACCACACTTATATATTCAGAATGATACACTCTACAAAATGATTTCAGTGGTGGTGGCGAAGGATTGTTTGCGACTTCCGAAACATTTAAAATACTAACTCTAGAGTGTTCTCCAAAAGTCAAAATGTATTGAAAAAGGATAGATATAATAATTTCTGAAAAAAACTTATTTTAACGTAACTAAACAACCTGCTTCAATCTATATTTGTTGGCGGTGAATCATTTAAAAAAAACATTTTCATTGCTCTCCAACATGTCAGGGCAGCAATTTCCCCAAAAATATTTTCCCCCCCATTTCTTTTAAGGTGATAACATCTTAAAATATGACGAAAGACATTGCAATCTTCTAAATAAAAGCTTTTAATTGAAAAATAATTGCAGCGCCACACCTAGGTGATGTTCAGTGGGAAAGGAAAAGCAAATATTGGAGCAAAACGTTCTCTTACCAAATCCAGACATCTCTTCTGTCGCTTCTTTACTTCATGCTCAAAGTTTTCACATTCTTTTCTCTTCTTGCTCAGCTCACTTTCCTGCATCGACAAAAACAACAAAGCAAGGAGAGTTAATCAGAATCTGATTTCTATTTACGTTTTGCAATGCTGTTTACATTGGCTTTAGCTTCCATATTGACCTCAGGCTTGATGGCAATGAGGCATTACAAAGCTTAGCATGCTTTAATTATTCTAAATGCAGCTTACATGCCAGGACCAGCATAGAAGAAATCAGCTTATTTCAGACAGCCACCGGACCTCCAACCATTATTACAGCTGTGACTGTGTGTGGAGGGGAGGGGGGGGGGCTATAAAGGAGACTACAGGCTAATTATAGGCCACCAGCAGAGATAATGTCCCAGTGATGGCACAGGAGGACTCTAATGATAATTACACTGGAATCTGTGATCTGATTTGCTTGATTGTGCAATAAAAAAGTCTGAATAACGTATATCACAGAGTTGTTCAGTCAAATCAGGGCTGCGACGTAAATGGACCAGGATGGCGGCACTGATTGGAACTTTAATGTTCTGCCAGCTGTTTCACAATCACAACTGTTTAACTTAACTTTTGGTTTTCAGGTTCTTCGGCTGCTCATAACTACATTCTGTTGTTGGGCAGAGGATGGGATAAAATAAATAACGTGCTTTTTTTATTATCGAGTCAACTGACTGTTATATTTAATGCATAACAATAACAGAGCAAAACAACTGATAACCTGTAAACCCAACTAGTAAACGCAACAAGGACTGCAGGAAGCGTGTGTAAAACAAACCATTTCAATCGTTTTTGAGTAGATAGAATTTTGCATTTGATATAACTTTTACAGTTTCTGAAGGTTAAATACAATAATCCGTCTGCATTATATATTGTTCTTTCAAATGTTCAATCAAACAAACCTAATAGGCTAGAACGAATAATGCAGAACGAATGTGGATATAACTCTTTTTCAAGTTTTATTTATAAATGTTTTTATTTAAATAATAATCCAAAATGTAAAACAAAACCGCAAAGATAAAAATATGTTCCAAGTTAAAATAATTCACATTACTCCTCGTTCAGCTAGAATCTGTACCCTTTAGCTTAAAATGTATTGATGCACAGTATTAAACTAACTTATATTATGTACATGCTCACTCCCTTCATAATTATGCACATTTTAACTTTTTAAAAGGCTACTGACACATCAGTATAAGCGCTGAGGGTAGTGCAGATACAAATTGCAGTTATATTGCATGTGCTCTACTCAGTAGTCATCCTGACAAAGACTGTCAACACAAAGCTGAGAGGGAATATGTTCCATTTAAGCCACGAGGCCCACTTGGAATCAGCAAGGGCAATGTGCTACTCTTCTGTTTCCAGGGGACAAGATCAAAATAATCCCAGCGTTGCATAACAGATCGGACTGTAGTTTCCTTCAGTGGCAGTCAGCTCAGCCGCAGCACTGAATTCAAGCCTTAGTTTGAATAGCTAGAAACATGCATTAAGGCACAATGTGCAGTTATTTCTGCTAAGAGGAGTGTAGGACTTAGAAATGACTTAGTGTCAATTTTAAAAGCCAACAAGCAATAACCAGAATGTATGCATTCTGTTACAATATCATCCGAGTTTGGTGCTAAATGCGCTCACCAGAAACTGTAGGTGCTGCTCCTCTGTGTGCTCCTCCTGATGGGAGGGGGTCGGGCTAAGGCCCGTTTGGGGCGTTACTCGCAGTCCCGACTCCTCCTTCTCTCCGGGAGTCTTCTCACACCTGGATGGAGCTTCATCTAACACCACACATGGGGTCTCTCCTACAACCTGGAGGGGACACAAACAACATCCAGTAAGTCAAATGTACAGCCATTAAAAAGGCGAGAACCAAGATATATAAAAAAAAAAGGAAAAATTGTAATTGTAATGATGTTTAACGCATTCTCATTCAAGGGCTAATATGAATGTAATTATTGTGCGTGTTTCTACGATTGTCCAGCAACTTGAGCAATTAGCATACCTGCACAACCCCCTGCAGTGCTGAACCTGAACCTGTTCAGATAACCCAAATACTTGGCTAGGTTTACGAAAATAAGTTTTTGATTAAAATAGGCATATATGGGCCGCAATATAGTTCACCTGGTAGAGCTGGCGGCCCATGCGGAGGACCCAGGTTTAAATCAAGCTAGGAACCATGTACGCATGTCATCCACTCTGTCTCCCCCTTTCAACACTGTCATCTCCAATAAAGGCTAATCTGGCCCAAAAAATCCTTACAAATAAATAAATAAATAGGTATATCTATGTAATTGCTGAAGTTTAAGCAATAAAACTACTTTATTTTAACTACTTTGGGTTAATTTAACTACGAAAATGGCATTAGGCAAGGCAAGGCAATTTATTTGTATAGCACAATTTATACAGTGATGCAATTCAAAGTGCTTTACAGGATCAAACAGAGAAAACACAATACATTGAGAAGAAATACAAAAACACACAAAATAATTAAAAGAAAGAAAACCATGTTTAACAGTTCGAAAATTAGAACATTTAAATTTTAAAAGCCATGTTAAAAAGAAATGTTTTTAGACCTGATTTAAATTATTCTTAAGTGCTAGTCATTCTCAGATGTTCTGGGAAATTATGTGACAAATTAAACATGAACTTCTGGTTTGGATTAAAAATGACAATGTTTAAACTACTTGCTTGTAAAGGAAATACAACTACTTGGATTTGTTTACTCAAAGATTGTGTTTTGGATTAAAATAAGTATGTTTGAACTACTTGCTTTAGGCAAGAAAACCACAAAGTTCACAAAAATATTGTAGATTGAGTTAAAATAACTGCGGAAATGACGTAAGGGTGTCACCTCACAATGTGAACGTTAACTTCTGCTTTCTTTTGGGACACGAACAGTGGTCTCCTGGTCTTACTACATGGGCTTTACTGCTACAGTATGTTGCCTGTTCTGGTTTTTATGAAAACGTGGGTTAGACATAAATGTATTACGTGGATTACATACAGTTCAAAATAATTCCAATGTTACATACAGTCCGAAAGAAATGTGGGTCACTTTCATTCGAGTACATTGCGCGGCTAACTTATATACGCATTAATTACGCGTAATTACGCATTAATTACGTTTTTCCCACACCACTCCGCTCCTCCGCTCCCTTCACTGGCTTCCGGTAACTGCTAGAATCCACTTCAAGACACTGGTACTTGCGTACCATGCTGCGAATGGATCTGGCCCTTCGTACATCCAGGACATGGTTAAACTGTACACCCCAGCGCGTGCACTATGCTCTGCATCAGCCAAACAGCTCGCTGCACCCTCGCTGCGAGGGGGACCCAAGTTCCCATCGGCGAAAACACGTGGGTTTGCTATCCTGGCTCCAAAATGGTGGAATGAGCTCCCCATTGACATCAGGACAGCAGATAGCTTGCACATCTTCTGGCGCAGACTGAAAACTCATCTCTTTCGACTCCACTTTGAGCGATAGAATTATTAACAAAGCACTTATATACTAATAAAGGACTGGCTTACCTAAAGCCAGTTGAGTAGCACTTGAAATGTTTGGCTCTATGAAACCTGATGTACTTATATGATTCTGTTTTCTTCAAGGTTGTGTCTTCCTGGTCGAATGTACTTATTGTAAGTCGCTTTGGATAAAAGCGTCAGCTAAATGCAATGTAATGTAATGTAATGGTAATATTCAGTATGAATACATTACATGGGTTACTTACATACAAATTAATTATGTGGGTTATTTACGAACAGATGAATTATGTGGGTTATTTAAATACAAATAAATGATGTGGGTTACTTTCAAATAATATAGAATGACTCTTAGTAGGTATAACTACGAACACTGTACAAGAGCAACCTGGGTTGTTATATTGTACAGTAACACTCAACATTAAACCCCCCACACAGTGAGGGATTAGCAGCAAGCCTCCTTCCCAGTTGTCCAACTACAATCAAAGAATAATCCGGGGGGAATCCCTGCAGCCTGCGACAGGACTCACACACATTAGCAGGGAAGCCTGTTCTTTCTAATTAGGCAGCAGTGCAGTGACCTGAATGTTTCACAGTGGCTGTTTTCTTTGCTGTTCATTTTAAAAAGTTGTATAATTTGTCTTACTTGGATCCAGGTGGTGGACATTGGCTGACATTGGTTAAGGGTTAAGAGTCGGGAATCAGTATCTAAATTTAGAGCAAACCTACTTATGCTCAAAGTAGAACTGTGCTAGTGCAGCCAAAGCCATGACCCAATAACAGGATCAAAGGCGCGGTGCCACGAGCTGGGGAGGGGATCTCTCCTTTACACCCTGCTTACTTTCACATTGTTAGTCACTCAAAGACCTCTCAGTCCAGACTACACTATTTTCATGGAGATACTCATATGGATCATTTTATTGTATGTGTATCACTTATATGTCATTAGTTTTTTCTAATCCATGATGTCAATGAGGGTCAGAAGTTAATTCGTCATCCCCCACTGCATTCAACATGTCCTTGGGCAAGATATTTAACCCCAAATTCCTCCCAGAGGCATGTCTAAGCTTTTGAAGTGTAGGTAAGTCACATTGGATGAAAGCACTAGCTAAATCACATGTAATGTAATACAACGGAGAGTAAAGAAGGCAAATATTAACGGAATAACTGAGTGAGGTTAAGTGCTACAGGAGCTTATCGATGTTTCCAGTGGATGGTGAATCCTACTGTTTTAAAAATATAATACACAATAAAAAGAAGCAAAACATTTAGCAAATGTAACAAAAGTATTGTATTTCTTTGATATGGTAGCAATTAGCTGCAATGTATCATTAATCATTTTGAAAAAAATACTTATTTTGAAAGTAATTCCATTTACCAACTTTAATATGATGATAATACCATTGAGAGAAAGAATATAAACTAATTTGAGCAAAGGGAAAACCAAGTGTTGGAATGTGGTTCCTGTGGTTGCCATCAACTTTCTAACAAATTAAAATAGGGACAGCAAATAGCAGCCCGTATCAATAAATGTTAAATATATGTTGCACTAGAGATTTTGAGAAAAGATTCCTCTTACATTCAAAACTGGAACTGCGCTACCACAATTGAAAGGGAGAGAACGGAAGCAACCACTGAAAAACAAACACACACACACACACACACACACACACACCACACACACACACACACACACACACACAACACACACACACACACACACACACACACACACACACACACACACACACACCACACACACACACACACACACACACACACACCACACACACACACACACACACACACACACACACACACACACACACACACACACACCACAACACACACACACACACACACACACACACACACACACACACACACACACACACACACACACACACACACACACACACATGACTCAACCTTAAGTCCCCTTTCCAAGCCTCAAGGATCCTTTTAAGGACATTCTGCCACCATCACCTTATTTAATGGATATTCAATGATTCCTTTTGAATACAACACACATTTTAATGGAACACAAGCCAGTGGAAGAACAAACCACTCAGCTCTTTTATTAGCAATGCCACTTAGTCACTTTAAGATGCAGGTTCCCTTTTATGTGTATTGTGTGAATTGTATGTTGTAATGTGTATGGCAAGTATTTTCCAGTGCCAAAGATACATTTCCATTTTATGTACATGTATTGAACAATAAAGTATTCTGAAGCTAAATATATTTTTTGGGGTCTGTGAAGAGCATGACAACAGCTGCACTAATGCTATTTTGTATACCAAGAATCAGCCTGGACACGTTGACCCTTGAATTTTCAAACTACCAAGAACTTTATATAACATTTGAATTATTAAGATGATGTATAACTGATTTACAATTTCTCTGCCACACGGCAATGACTTTAAAAGTTAGTATTTAGGCCTGATTGGTGAGATATAATACTATATATACCAAGATAAAGTTCCCAGCATCCTATCATTCTTCCTTATTATCACAATAGTTCTACTTCTGGCAGCATGAGAATTAGGGGAAGGTTTTCCTGTCTCCACAGGATAAATATTTGTACAGATACAGAAGATCCCAACAAGCGGTCCTTATGACCCACAGTGACTGTTGAGCCCCAAATGAGTGTCATGTCTGTGGCGTTAAGCGAGTCTGTCCCCAGTTTATCTTTTGGCTAGGTGACCAGATGGTGTTAGTAGTGGTGACGAAAGGCCGGCAGGAGGCACTAATACCATTGGCCCCTGTACAAAAAACAGTGCACAGCCATGAGGGCTTTAAAAAAAAAACACTGCCGACTTTTCTGTTGCTAATTCCTTTTGGTGGTCATTAAGATCCCGTCACATCAATCATACGTGCCCGGCAATCCTGGCTAGATGCCCACGTTTGTATTTCGGCAGCCGCGGTTAAACCTGTCTTCTTGGGATTCTTAATTAGCTTGTAGCATGTCACACCTATTGAGTGGGTTGGCTTAAGTGTGTGGAGTACACTCCAATAATCTGGCAGGCTTTTGACAATGTAGTGACACAAAAGTGGTGGCAAAGGTGAAACCCAACGTCAATTTGAACACACCTCATCCTTTTGAATTATTATTGTTCTACTTTTTGCAGCTCTTCTTTACGTCGTTACTTGTGTCCTTTCCATACCGCTACAGAGTTATGAGATGTATTTTTACACTCAGTGACGACATATTATTAAGTATGATTTGTATTCCTATTGGTTTACAAACCTTTAAAGAGGAGCAATCCTTTTTGAAAAAGAAACGTTGGTTCACAAAGCAAATCTAATCAGGATTTAGGTGACGGGTGATATCAAGGTTGTAACGGATGAACACAGGGCGAATATGACATAATCCCTCATTTATAAAATATTAGGAGGAATAAAAGGAACTGTCATAGAGCTTTAGGCCAGAGCTTTTATGAAAAAAGGTTTATGTGGCAACACTTTGACCAAACAAAAGTTAGTGTGTGTTTAATTCTCTTTCTTCATTAGGACACTAATGATAAAAAGATCAATTGAGTCAAATTGAGCATAATCTGAAATACAAAAGCTAACAGACCAGGTGTTAAATGAGTAGTGCTCAAATTCATGTGAATTTGCAATTGTATAGTTCCTTTTCTGCGAAGAATCTGAGAATCACATATTCAGGTGTTCTGATGGTTTTTACAATGAGTTCTCAATTAGTATTCACTTCATTTCTTTTCACAAACTATTTAAACATATTCAGCAAAAAAAAATAATAATATATTTTTCAATCACAGAAACAGCAAAGAAAGGAATCAATAGCTGAGTCAATCCTACCACTAAACAGGGACAACGCCTATTAGCTTCACTACTTTCATCAATTCAAGAATATTATATATATATATATATATTAAAATGTGGGTAAAAGAGTAAATCCTGTCAGATTAGAATCAGTACCCACAGGACAACTATAGAATATATGTTGAATGGACGCTGACCAGTATACTGTATATGCGAAGAGTTTGTGCATGCGGTGTCCTTAAACACTACATTTATAACCAGCTATAATACATACAAAAACTAGAAGCATTAATATAAAGATCCATAATACCCGAACAGTTAAAATATACCATTGTTTAATTGAACATGTTTTAATATTTGTATATATTCAGCAGAGTAGTAATAAAATAAGTGTACAGCTGGTTCCTGGTCTCATCTCAAACTAACACATCAAGCCATACTAACATATTATGTAATAGTTATATACTATGTGAATGTATTAATGGTGTCCATGTTGGTCTTACAATAAGTATGAATTATCAACTAGTCAATGTCATGTGTGGTCGAATCAAAAATATGCTACGATTAACATCAGCTTCAAATACATACAGTGTATCAATCTAAATATCAGTTCCCAATTTTAAAATGTGATGATTACCACATACTGAGATATTTGTGACAATATCTGACCAGATTGTTTTTACTTTGTTTTACACACAAATATAAATAATGACAATTTCTACAGCATGGGGCATTTAAACATGCTGTGCAGATACGCTTCGTAATGTTGCTGAAGCCACTGGAGTCAAATTAAATATAATCTGGTAGGACAAAAGCTGCTTGCATGTGAAAATGTTCATATAGTATTTGACAATGCAATTAAGTACATTGTTAGCTATCCTTAACTTCAATATTATGTTTCCTGGCAGGCAAACTTGCACATAAATACAGATGTGATTATTATTTGTTTTTAACCTGAATTGGCTCCAATTTATCAGCAAATATAACTTATACATTTCATTTTCTTTTATAACATGTATGACATTAAAAGAAGTGCATGTGATCTTTAAAATCTAACAAGCCTGTACCTGATTGCTATGCATTCAAGCATTGAGTAAGTCAGGCTTATACACAGTATAAATGTGAATGGCAGACATTTGCAGACTTTACACTGCACTTATGTTAACTATTGATGATACTATTTATTTATAGACCCTTAATGGTTGTTTATGTTACCCTTTACATTCATTGCTAACTTTCAATGATGTTCCTTATCGAAAAAACTTGAATTATTAGTTTCTGTTGCCGGTGCGGTTGTTTCACCTGAGCTTGAAAAATACTTCTACTACATTCTACACAATAAACAAATATGCAATGAAGTAAATAAGATAAGACACAAAGAAACTATAGAACAGAATGCATTAGGAACTGGCGGAGTAATGATGCAGGGGGAGGGAGTTCAACAGGAAACAGTTTGAAGTCATGGCTTTTGATGGCTTCTTGAAAGGATGTCAATATTATTATGTCATTGATTGTTTTCTCTGGGGAATTTTAAAATCCTACATTTTCTCTTAATGTTTTATTTTTCAGCTTTTTATTATAGTATGTATTTTCCTGATTTATTTTTCTATGCTATATTGACAATAAGGTATTTTCCTCAATATACTTCTGAGTTCATTAAGAGGTCATTTGAATGAATGAAACTTGAAGAACAGTTCTCGCTTGATGTCATGTTCTGCTCACATCCCATCACCTGATGGCTGATATTGATTTGGTCGGTATTATGGATATACTGGGTCATGGCATAAAGGAAAATATATCAGAATATATCAACGGAGAACACGAGTACTTCTATATACTTCGAAAATATAGAAATCAGAAACGTCTTCTCCTGTTTCCGTACTTCCATGCACTTTGCAAACAGACATGTTTAATATGACATGATGAACTATACTCCTTTTAAAATTGAAATGTTTTGAAATGTTGCTGCTGGCTTTTCAGTCACAGTAGAACAAGAACTTCACATGTCACTCCAAAAGTAAATTGGACGTAGAAGGTATGACAAAACTAGTATAAAGATTGTGCATTCAGAAAAACATTCAAATTATAAAATACATGAAGTCAATATTGACATTTTAAAGAATGTGTGAAGTTATATGAACAATTATCAATGAATGGTCAGATGAAGGATGCAGCCGTGTCTAACATATATCCTCACAGGCAGTTTGAATGTTACGGTAGCTTAGATCCTAGATCAAATCCTCCTGTAACTGAGGCTCGCCTCTACGTACACTTTGCGTCACACAGCGAGGTGCCATTGTGTACACCTCACACTGATGTGGTCCATGTATACTAGAGGATCAAGTACACCTTGGGCCCATGCGTACTAACGCAGGGTCAGATCCCATTCGGCAGGCCCTGAATGCCATAAGCACATTGGTGTAATCCCTGCAGACTACTGCAACGGGTAACTGGATCACTTCTTTTAAAAGCACCTTAATGGATTGGCCTGGCCGTTGATTTTCTTTTTAATACGTAGCATATCGATGTCCACCAATCAAACGCTCTACCACCCTGTCACTAAGTCCCCCCCATCTAAATTCTGCATCTGGAAGCTCCAAAATATGACAGTTATAAAACCGCGTTTCTGACTGGCTGCCCTTCAATAGGCCTAATGCATGTCACTTCTTTCTCATTTGTAAGGAAGTAGCATGCCATTACAGACATGGCTGCAATTTAGCAGAGGATTTACTGAAATTAACATAGAAAAACAGCAGCTATGAGACTTAGAAGAAAAATCCTGCAAATAGCTGCAAGTTGTTTTTGTTAAACTTACATGTAACAGTTATAATCTTGCAGAATAAGATGCTGTTTTAAATATCTAACACAAATGATCGCTCCCGATTTGTCCTGTGACCGATTACTTTTCAGGGTTAAGTCTGAACTTTGAGTTCTGCAGGGCTGCAGGCTCACGTCCAAGCAGGCACATACGAGGTTAGTAAACGAGAAGTACAGCGGGAACGGAGACCGACACACGGAGACGACAAAACTCAGAAGATGACCTACCCCTTTGGCGTGATCTGTGCCAACGTCAAGGCGTCCCTTGGCCTGCTAGTTATCCAGAGCAGGGCGAGATAGCAAAGTCTTTAGTGCGACTGGAGTCTTACCTACCATGCAAAACCCTCTCACCGCTGCCACAGCAACAGAGAGCGGATTACTGGACTGTACCATTCTGTTGTTAGAGGGGATTAGAGTTCACACAACATGGCCCCTTTCTTAGTGTGCGCGTCCCACAAACGGGGGAGATTACCACAATCGGCATTCTCATTTGAGCTTCACAGGCAGAAAATGTACTCTACTCCACAGTGAGGACATTTTTTTATCTCCATAAAAGAGATGTATGCCTTTAGGGTGATCAAGACTGATTCTAACGCACATAAATGATACCTTTAAGAATGTCACTATTTGAACTGTTAGATGTCAGATGTTCAGTGGCGTGACAAACTAAATGTTTCAATTATTGTAATGTAATTCCTGCAATACATTACATATTTAAATATTAAGGCATAAAGTATGTGCATTTTAGATTTGTTGCCCTGAGACGGATCGGCACATCACTTCAAGTAAATGAATGTTTCTAAGAAGTGAGAAGCGAGGAGATGAGTATTAAATGCAGAGGGGATGGGAGTGTGTGACTTCTGTATCTTTGATCAGGCCCAAGTTCAAGGCAGGGAATCATCTCATTATGGCTCGTGGCAGATTAGTATCGAGTCCAACGACAAGCCATTATGTAACACTGCGAACCAGCATGCATGCCAACGTAAATGTACACTGGACTTGGGAAAAATTCAGTGTGCATGACCAAGGGGCAAATAATTCAAACCATACTGCAGTGCAAATACCGTTTACAACCCTAGGTGTAAAACATTATCTGGTGTGTGCTGCTTTTCATCACACACTTAACTGCAAGTAAAACGAACAGCATCATTGTAGCCGTTTAAAAAAAACGTAACATCCCAAATGCATATATAGAACTCTGTACAAATGTCTATATCCCAACTACAGCTTAGTATATTCCTTTGCATCTATTTCCATATTTGTTTATTACTTATAAAAGGGCTTGTGGCTCTATATACAAGAAATAAATAGCAAATGTGCAACATCCAGAAGCACAATATGCAAGTTATCCTACTGTGTTTTGTATATTGTATTAGTGTTGGATATGTGTTAATACACCGTCAGTATTTATACTTAATTTGGTTGGAAGACATTAAAGGAATTCTATTGATGTCAGCATTTCTTAGTTTGCATAGACAAGGCCCTCTAATTCAAATCCCTTATTACATGTTACTTGTTATGTTGGTCTTATACCAACAGGGGTAAGCGTAGCCTTGATCTGAGGGGGGGCTTTTACCTTATCTTCCTCATCTTCTTTCTTGTCTTCCTCCTCCTCTTCTTCCTGGATCCTCCCACACTTCGCCGGGCCGCCAAGGTCGGGACTGTGGTCGTGCTGCTGCCCAGATGATGTGACGGACAGCTGCCTCTGGAGCCGCAGCACCTCCCTCTGAGACTCCCTGAGAAGCCTCTCGAATTCCACTCGGCCAGATGGAAGAGGGGAGCCCTGCACAGACACAGACGTATGCATCAAAGACAGACAGGAACGTCGTCAAGTCATTACAATATTGGTACCGTAGCATCCGGACAAAGACCACCAGATTCAGGGACTATTTGTTTATTTGTACATCCTTTTTATTCCACATATGTACATATTTATATATTGTAACAGTAACCAGTATTTATTCAACTCTACAGTATTTAATTTGAAAGTTAGGTATGTTTTATCGTAAACGACCTTGTGTAAATATGTTCTTATTCATGCTGCTTGCTTGCACTGTTATGTCTGTTGCACTGTTTTATTTGTTTTGTTAAGTAGTTAAGACTATTGCTCTTGCAATTTAGAACTGATTTCACAACACTCTAAGATTGTGTTTAATAGATACATAGATTTAAAACAAATGTGATAAATGAAAACAGTAGTAGATAGAACAGTCAGAGGGATATAACAATAAGATAGCTTAAAGCAGCAGTAAAACTGATTCTAGGTCGTCTCATACAGACTTTATATCTAAATGTTCCCTCTCAAGTTGAGAATACTCCTTCATCTGCCCTCCACCTTGTCCTCATTACTTGGTGAGAACCTGGGTAGTCCCACATAGACACTCTCACTGGATCAATAGCCAGCTTACCCTGGGAGACCCTGCATTATGAAACCCAGCAGATGTTCACATTCAGGCAAATGAGCTCTTAAGTCAGTGGAGCAGTAATTAAAAACAGGCACTTCGAAGGCAGCCTATTCCTGCACTGTCAACGAGTCATCCGCAGTGACGCAGCCCCAGTAATACGGGCTTAGGAGGGAGTTAGGAGGAGGAGGAGTACCCGTGGTGTCCAGCAGAGGGCGAGCTTGTGGCAGGGATGAGGAGTGGGCTATATGAAACAAGGCAAAAAACTTGGAAGAACCATAAAGTTACCTCAGCTTTGTTTTTGTTTACTGTGGTGGAGGAAGAATCCAGAACCTCTACTGTACAGTGTGTTACTTTTAGTGACACACTGTACAAATGCAAGTCCTGCATGGGAAATGTTACTAAAGGAAAAGTTTGTAAGTATATTCAGGAATATGTATTTCATTTTTCAAAAGTACCAGACGAGGAAAAAAAAGTCCTCTGTGAATGCTTAACTATTAAATATAATATTGTTCAAATTTAATATAAAAAAACTGCGAGATAAATGTAGTGTAGTAAAAAGTACAATATTCCCCTCAGAGATGTAGTGGAGTAGAAGTAAAAGTACCTCAAAATGTAACTTTAGTAAGGTGAATGTACTTAGTTACACTCCACCTCTGTGGCCCAAAGTGCTTCACATAGAAAAGGAGAGCATGTGTCTTTACCATGAGTCCAAATCAGTGAGCCCCTCTCAGTTAAAGAGGGGCTGTGTGATAAATACCTTGGTGGTGCCCAGCCGTGACTCCAGCTCTCTGCACTCCTCCTGCAGAGCGGCGATTTCTTTGTCTTTAGACAGCAGAGCGTCGGCGTGCTGGGCCAGGTCCCGGGCCCGCTGACGGGCGAACGCCCTCTTGTACTGTTCCACTGACCCGGGTCTCATCAGCGACGGGGAGTTCACCTGAACAACAGCAACAAGGAAATACGTCTTTGAATCACCAGACTGGATTTCCTAGAGGAAGAAACGTGTCCTCTTTCAAAGAAAAAGTGTATCATTTTACTCAGTAGATATCTGGTATAGGTAGAGCAGAGGTACTTGTATTGTTCTTCTGAATAACAGAGGCGTGTCAACCACTGTAGGTATTTTACTATCTGTGGGTCAGTCTCATAATAAAAGCCGACTTTTAAGTGAATCAAGCCTCACAAGTCATTCTTTTTTTGGTGTAGATTTATCAGAGCTGCATTGCTGTGCCCTTCAGTGAGCAGCAGGAGGTGAGCGGGGGAGGGGAGAGGTCCCTCCCTCAGTCTGGTGAACAGGTGCAATGTGAAAACACACCAGTGACCAAAGCATCCCAGAGAGAGAGAGGTAGCCCCTACTGCTCTTCAGGAGAGATAGAGGCTCTTCCACATCAAGAGTAAATACTACATCCAACTTCAAAGAGTGACACCTTGCATGCATGCAGCTTATCGTTAAATTAAAATGACAAATTATCAACCTAATTATTTACAATTTCACCAACAATGAGTGAGCTGTGGAAAGATACATCATAGTTATTATAGTATTTTTGATATTACAATTGAAGAAAAAGGTTGAATTGTTGCAAATAAATGATCTTTCAGTCAAAGTTATTCTCTGAATCAAAAATAAAAATCTCCCCCTTCTTCCTTTCCCCCCTAATTTCAGCCCCTGGTGGATATTATCTCAGGAAACCTCCTAGTTCCTCCAGCCATTCTAGTGATGCATTAAATATTTAATAGGGAGCTGGTACTTTTTCAACAAGGCTCCCATTCATCACATGCTGAACTATTCCATTCAACTCATTACCGGACATTATGGTGATGTGGTTATTTGGATGGTGCTGCGTGATAATGAGTCGCTTTGGGTCACAGTGGGGGGGGGAAAGCATTTCACACTGAAGCTGAAATGTGATGTATTTAATTTGTGCCGTATACCACTCTGAGGTTGGCCTCCTGCAGTTTGCGAGCTCTGTCTTCCAGCCTCTTAGCGAGCACAGACAGCTCAGTGTTCTTCCTCCTCAGCCGCCTGACCTTCTCCTCCGTCTCTGGGGCGCTGCTCTTCCACTAAACAAACGGGAAACAAACAGCCTCATTAGACAACGCCTACAGCAAAAATTAACACTAACACAACAAGCATGAAAGTCAACATTTCTACATTTTTGCTTATTCCTGAACAATCTTTTTAGATTGAATGCAGAGCTGGAATGGTAGTTTAAAAGAAATGTACTAATTACCCGTTAACCAAATGTAATCACGGAAAGTTTTACATTTGTTAACAATATAAAAATAATGATTCAAATAATTTCATTTACATTTGAAAAACCTACAAATCCACTACTGTGTTCAAAAAGGTCCCCTCTTTTCCCCTCTGTCTGAAAACAGACCAATGTGTTGGAGCGCTAGCCAAAAGAAGAGTGTTACATAGTGATCTCACTATGTTACGGAAGTAATCAAAGGACTACAATCTTTCAGAGCCTACATTGGATGTTTACACGTTGACTATCACAGAACATTAACAGTGGGATCGCACTGCTTTCACTGACTGACTTTTCTCCTTAGAACACAACATGATTATTGATCGCGTTTCCATCCAGGAAATTGAAAGCATTCTTTGAACTAGAGGCTACGAGCATAAAATGGAAGTTTAGTTATGATTTCACTCGAGACTCCTTTCACTTTTTTCAAATGTATAGCAACATTGTTACCCTGCTAGTTATCCCCGTTTTAAAACATGTATCCATAATCTGATTACCTCTTTGTTATGCAACTGTAAAGGAATACAGTTACCTTTTAATGTAATCTGATCACATAATCTCGTTGTTTCTGATACTTCCAAAAACTAAATTAAGATTAAATGGCACACTTCCTACTTAGTGTAACATGTGCGTGTGTTACCCGGAAGACATTCAGAAGATTAATGGGGAAACACTCTGTCAAGATAATGATCTATTTATAAACAGGATAAATGACGCCTTGCTGAAACTATGCACGTTAAAAAAGTTTAGTTGGCTCCGACTGTGCTCTTGGCCTACTTTCTAGGAAGCCTTCAGTAAGGACTGCAGACTCTGCCATTATTTTTAGACTTACCAGCAGGCCATTCTCCTCCCTCAGTGTGGTACAAGTCTTCTCCAGCTCATCGAGGGCTCGCAGGAGTTCAGAGTTCTGACGCACCAAGAACCCATAGTCAGTACCATTCTGGAAACACAGACAGATGTTTAGCAAACACAGCCTTTCTATTATTTTTATAATACACCATGAAACTAGTTTTAGAGAGAAAGGGGATCGAGTTTCATTTCATAGAATTGCTTAAATCGTGTTCCATCTCTGGGTAATTGGAATGCCTCCCTCTGCTTTCAGCCAATGTTTACACAGCACAATGTAATAGTGGCTGACAGATGACAGCACTCTGAGAAGGCTTTTCATTAGTCCAACTCAATCAGCCTACCACTGGCACTGAATACCTATTACTCCACATGAACTCAGCATTAGAGGACAGAGAGCTGTGGTTGCATATTGAGCTATCAAGAGACAAAGAGAGGGCAAGAAAAATTCCAATTACAAATACACCAACATGTCAGGTAGCAGTCTACATCCATGTATATCCAAACTCTTACACCAGAAAATATATGCAGCAAAGACTTAGATGGAATGTATTAAACTTGTAATATAGAATGGAAAATATGCTGTCTTCACTAGGAGACTATTTCACAAAGGGCCGATAGAGAGCTTTGTTACATGGTGCGATGACAATCCTCTGACGTGTAACATCAGCCATACAATGAGTTTGAGGTGGATGTTGGATTAAGAGAGAGATAGGATAAAACACAAATGTGCAGCCATGACAGACAATGCTTCAAATATGGATGTTGCTGTAAATAAGTTACATCATTTTTAAAAGTGGATGCTTTGCACACATCTTCAACCCGACAAAATATAGAATCGGCACATATTCAAGTTGGGCATCCAAGATTAGTGTCCCCAATGGGGAAATACGGGCATAATCCCCCTTCTTTGTTCCAGTTTCAGCATTACATAATGTCCAGAAAAGGTTTGCAGAACATTATGATGTCACAGGGAGGTTGACCATTGACAATTTGAAGAGAACAATTCTAAACTCTATCATTTTATCCTTATTAACATTTGTATGAAATGTTTTGTCAAATTAGCGTTATTAGCGTTACATTTACGAGTCAGGGCACAATTGGGTTTTGTGAGGTCACAGGGGCCTTGGCATTTAACCATCAAAATGTAATCAGTTCAGTCCAAGTGGATGTTTATGCCAAATGTCAGGAAATTCCCGAATGAAGGCATTCACAAAGAATGATTGAATATTGGATGAGAAAGTCGTCCAACACTTTGACATCAAATATTACAACAAAATATACATATACTGTAATGACAAAATTAATTAAAAAAACTCAGTCAATCAATTTCTTTAAATTGGACGCTGGAGATCTGTGAAAACACAAAGTTATTTTGTGGTTTTACATAGTGTCATAACCCTGAGCTTGTTATGTTGTGAGCTGTTAGTGAATAGATAGCTCTACAAAGCAGCAGTCGATGTGGCACACTGTCAACGTGGCAGATTGTTAATGTGGTGATCAAGACTGTCATCATTTGTCGTCCATGTGGAGGAAACCTGGAAGTGGTGGAACCTCAGATTGCTCTTTCATTTGAGGGGACGGCACCCTGCCTCTGACACAGGGATGCTCTAAATGAGTCCAGAGGCTCGGAGGGAAGAGAGGAGACCTGGCACACATCAGTGTAATGTCTGCAGAGAGAGCAGATTTGCAGACAGGGTGAGCAGAAAAGCTGCAGGTAAAGGGAGGGTTTGTCCTCAGAGTGAGACACAAAAAGGTAATAGAGTGGTGCAGGATTGACATCTTAAACCTGCAAATGAGTAAGCATCTTACCACTTGGGTTCTCTTGCCTTGAAGCCAAAGTTTTTTTGAAAATGTTTTGGTTAGACGCCTGAAATAAGTCCTCTGGTCAACGCACTTGTGTTCAGGATTTATTTTACCTTACATAATACGTCACCAAATACCCAGCTCGTAAATGTCTGAAGCTTCTGTGTCATAAAAGAGCAAAATCTACGAAGTCCCTGAATGCAACCTCATCATGCTGAAAATTAGCCACTATTAGCATTGAGATAGGTGAAGCTCAGGAGTGATCACGTTAGCTTTTTAGCTCTGGAGTAATGCATTTAGGTTTTTTAAATAAATCATAAAAGTGGTGTAAATATGTGGAGATCGTCCTGCTGAACAAAAGTGCTAAGTATCATTAATGTGCCATTTAATTTGTGTTTTACGACCGCTGCATTTGTCTGCCTGTATTGTCTGTGTTTTATCTGTTGTAACTTTGTTCATGCTGCCCTTCTTGGCCAGGTCGCTCCTAAAAATGAGATTTTAATCTCATTGAGACTTTTTACCTGCTTAAATAAAGGATATATATAAATATCATAAACGGACAATGGATCTTATTTTCCAAAATATTGCAAAAGGAAAACAAACCTTGCTTTTTGTCAAGGGAGCGCTTGCAATGCTAACTTCCGGGTTGGCCTTTAAAAATACATAGTCACTGCACCACCCTATACAGCCTCATGTTATTGTAGTGTCCACAGCACATGTAGCAAAGTGCCTCTGTGGTACACCACAAAAGCAAACAGATGGCTCCACACGTGAAACACCAGTAAACCTGTCTCCGTTAATACTCCTGGGACCTCATTATTAACCTGAAATAGCCCTCTGCCACTTTGAGACGCTTCTAACATCACAAAAAAAGACAACATGAGAAAAAAAATAATCATGTGATGTCATCTTTTGAGATTATGTTGTCTTGGTAACTGCACATGATGGCCAGTCTGGTGGCTCTCTGGAGGGTTGTTTACGCTACTGTACCTTTTACTTTAGTAAACACTAATGACCAGCTGTTTACTAAACCAGCACCTGAGGCTCCATCTTGTTCATCCTCCAGTATCATTGTGATGGTAAAACTGATTATTTGCTTAGTGGGCATGGAAAATCTGAATTTGGATCTGGTATGGAAAATCCAATATCATAATTAACAGACTATTTGCTAAAAAAAAAAAAACCTGGTCATGGCAAGGCCCACTGCCAGTTCCCAAAATTAAGTCTGTTTTTGTTAATGTCCATCACTGTCTAAATAAGTTGTGAAAAGCTTGCAGTCAAAGCAAAGATGTGATCACTATTTGAGACTGTAGGCATAAAAGATGCTTCATGGACGACAATTATAATCAATACAGGCAGTGAGTGACTCAGCAGGACAGGAGCGTTCTCCTTAAACCTGAATGCTCTCTTTGGGCTGGACACCAGCTAAAATCCTTTATGGAAATGTTGTCTCATACATTTTTGTTGAGCATGACTGCGCATCAAATGTTGAAAGGGGCCCTATTTTACTTTTGGGGGATTTCCCGTTACTGTAATGCGGTATGTAGGTTTTTGAGCATGTATATGGTCTGCAAAGGCTGAAATCCTAAAGTTCCCTCCAGAGTACCAGCGTTTCGAGATTTGTCTTGGCAGATGAGAAGCGCTATATAAATTAAATGTATTATTATTATTATTATTATTATTATTACCAGTGGGAAGCTTTAAGTAAGAGGCAGCAGCACAAAGTGTTCAGTTTGAATTGCTGGTTGTTAGAACAGCAGCAGACTTCATGACAGGCTTGGTGCAGGATCAGAAAAAGTGAGGGTGTTATCTGTGAAGTAAAAAAGGTAAAAATAGGAATGAAGAACTTAAACAACCCTCCTACACATAAGACAGAAAAGTACTTAATACTGAACCACAGTTATATAAACATGCCTCTAGATGACTTTACAAAGTAGTCTCATAGCGATGTTAGAGGTGATACAACACAGGATGCTATTATTAAAGTATGCCAATGGCAAAAGGACATACAACACCACTAAAAGTCATTGAAGTTATGCTAAAACACTATAACTAGCGGAAATAGTTGCAGCTTCAATGAGTTTTTTTAGATAAAAGCAGAGTTTTTATGTTGCCGGTCCCAATGTCCCAGCCTTCCTCTGAGGACGGCGATACTAAAGCCCAATCAATCACCTCAGAGGAAGGCCAGCCAGAGGGAACCCAGCCTCCGCATGCCTCCATTCGGATTCTAATGATCTTGGAGCCCGTCCATGTCTTGTAATTGTTCCCTTGGAATCACACGGAAATACACCAGGGCTTTTCTCAAGGTTTCTTACGGACTAAAAAACCCACCCTGCCCTTGCTTCATTTGCTGCAACAGTAAAGGGCTGCAGGTGGTGAGGTCCACTCAAGGCCAGTGTATTAGTATTCAGCCGGTTTCCTCTCTCATAGCAGCGTTATAGCTCATATTGGCCTGGCTCGGTAAAGGAGGCAGATGCAGCTCAGCAGCAGCAGGGCAGGGGTCTCTGCACAAACGTCTGTCAGGAGAGGCTGAGCCTAATGGAGCCTTCTCCCTCTGCTCTGTGTGATCTGTCTGCAATCATGGTGGTTACAAGCAGATAACTGAGGGGAGTATAAAACACTCACTGCACTGACACTGTTTAGCATACTGTCCCAGCCTGCAGGGCCTCGAGCAAACCATCATGGACAAAAAGGGGCATTTTTCATTGTATCAATAGTTAGTCAATAGTCAGTATGGGTAAGCCAGCGGTGAAATGTAGCACAATACATTTAATAACCCTTTTTTTTACAAGTACTGTATTGAAGTACCTGAGTATTATCATTTCATGCTAATTCATACTGTAGTTATACACTACATTTGAAGAAGCCAATACTGAACTTGTATTCCAATATACGTTTTAATGGCAGCTTAAGTTACTTTATAGATTCAGATTATTAGCTAATACAAAATATAAATCAAAGAAATACAAAAATAAATACAAATTGATATATAATTAAGATATTCAGCAGCAGTATACAAATAAAAAAAGTTATAACTGTTATTAATTGGTCCCACTTTTACTAGCTTTGTTAGACACATTAATGCATACAAAATAATCTAAAATGGGCTATTACCCATAACAAGTACTGTTGGTACTTGAAGTTAATTTTGATGCCAATACTTATATATTTACGATTGTGAATGCAAGAGTTTTTTCTTCTTCAAAAATATTTTTACAATTGGCTATTGCTACTTTAGTTACGTAACAAACCAGAGAACTTTCTCACTACTGTGTAAAGCTGATTATT